CAGGAGTGGGGGGGGGGGGCGATTTTCCTTATCGCTCCTTCTCAAATATGCCACTGTATTGCTAGCGTTAAACCGAAGAAAACGTACGACTAAGGGGGAATATATCGCCGAAAGTGGCGAAATACGGTGTTGGAGAACGATCGGCCTGACGGACGGAGCGAAACATGTTTTCGGAAAACGGAAAATTCAATAAAACCGGAAAACGAAAACCGTCGATTATTTCGTCGGTCGGGTATTGTATAATAACATAAAATAGTTTTAAAAGATTTATATGATGTCGTTGTAGATATTATTTTAAACATATTTTGTAAATAAAATTTAAAAAATATTTTCAAAAAATAAAAAATGGTTATTTTCAAAATATTTACGAAATAATTTAATTCAAATATTTTACAATATATATTTTCATAATATTTTTAAAATATTTTCTTTATGACGTTTAAAAAATATTTTTTAAATATAATTGTCATTCAAATGCTATGTGGGATCCCACTATCCCAGAGATGTATTTCAAGTTTTTTTGGCCCAGGGCTAATAATTTTTGCCATCCCCATCTCTGCAATATAAGTCTATTGCAGCATTAATTATTAAAATATAGGTATACAGTTTATAAAAAAATACAGTAACATTTAACATGAACAATATCCTTTATTAGTTAATACTATAAGTACTCATAATAAAAATATCCGGAATATATGATTTATAATTTTGACTACATTAAAATTCACAAAACTTAAACAATAAAATCAAGTATGTACTTAACAATTTTTACGGTGGGATTAGATACAAGCAATTCATTAATTATATCCTCATAATCAAATTTTCTGCAAATTTCATTTTCGATATTGAGTATAGCAAAACTATTTAAATGATTCTCAGTAAATCTCGATGCAAGTATAATTTTTAATCCTTTTTAATGTTGAGAAGGACCTTTGAGCAGAACAGTTTGAGGTAGGAAGGAATAAAAAATTCTTGAAACTATGTCTATGTAAAAAATAGATCATTTATATTTTTTACTTTAACAACATACTCATTTCCAACTCTGTACATGTAATTTGTTGTATACTTAAAAGGTAATTACGAAAGTGTTGACATTCATTAGAAAAACTTCCATCTAAATCATTATTATATATTTTAAAAAATTCATCTGCTCTCAAATTCAATTCAGAGGACGAAAGAATTGTAAACTTCAGTAAAAATAAGAATTTTTGCTCTATATCTTCATAAGACTTTTTTTATTTTTTCCAATTCGGCATCGAGTTTATCCTAAATGACGAAGTAGATGATACATGTATATATGTTCACTTTTAATAATTCGCGACTATCAAAATATACTTCCACTCCAGGACTTTCGTCATATTGTAACTTCCTTTTTTTTCTTTGTATATTAGTCAAATAAGTTAAGCCCTACTTTTTATAGCTAAATTTTCATAATATTTATAAAACATATTATGTCTCATTTCTTTAACATACTGGTTATAATGAATTATACAAATAAATTACAGATTCAATATTAATTCCTATTATTTGAAGTTTGTTATTTGTAAACTATTGTTATAGCTTTCAAATAACAAACGTTTAATTTAAGCTATTACGCTTTAACTAGCGTTAAAGCGTTCCAAAATTGATCTATTGTACGGTATAAAATTTAATTCAAATCAATTTTTTTTTTAATCACTAAATTACTCAGCATTTTTCTGCTCTTCAACATTTGCCACCCAGGACTATAGCCCTGGTTAGCCCCAGGGTAAATATGTCACTGCATTATTCAATGTTTAATTATATGCAGTAAGTTTTTTTTGTTTGATAAAATAACTGTAATATTATAGAGATAGTAAATTTTTTACATATTACATTATATATGTATATAAATTATACTGTTATAGATACATTTTATACTATTATTTTAATCTATACATTTATGGACGGAGATAAGAAGGCTTCTGCATTGTTAGATAAAAAGTTTGGAGTTGGGTAAGTGATTGTATAAATAATTATTTTCTATGTTAAATACACTTTTCATAGTCAGTTTTATGGATTTAGAGGTTTACTCATATAATCACACCTTAACGAATGGACGGAGAGATGGAGAAGAGTCGCTTAAAAATATTTCCCCCTAATGGCCAAATGACCAAATGGTTTACGACCATTCTTTCAGTGATTTATGAAGTACATTTTGACATTTTAACAGATTTATAAAATGTAAAATAATATAATATAGGTATATTAACTATTAATAATATTTTTGTATTTTTTTTTATGCTACTCATTAAATTTGTTCAATTTAATTGAATAACTAAATTATCATTATTTTAATTATTTTTAAATAATTTGATATTGAATTATTTTTATTTACATTATAGATATTATAATGAGCGTTGGTTTAAAATATAGGGAAAATTGGAAACGGTTATCCAAAATTCGGAAATTTCATAAAATTTGAACATTATTGTTTACCTTTTAATGACCACCTTAATGTAAACTGATATGACTTTTCATTGACTACCCCATTTAAGGGGAAAGGCCTCAGTTATTTTTTAAGATAATAATATGACGATTCACTCGTTTCCGAATAAGGTCGAGAAAAATGTACACACTACTACTTACAAAATTTCCATTTTTAAAACATATTTGAATTCTTTAATTTTTATCTATGTTTTGTATAGAACATTCATTTGTTTTTTATTTACTTAGTTAATTTAATTAAAGTATTTGACGAGTTTACCTTTTTTTCTCAAAATAAATTCGTACTTAATATTCCGTAAAGAAAAAAATACAATATATTTTTCCTACAAAACATAGAAATGAAGCATATGAATAAAATAATTTTTCAAAACGGAAATAATTAGATTACTGCAGGAAATATGATTTTTTTTTACTCCTACTTATTGGTTTAAATGGATGAAACAACGAATCACTTTAAAAAACATTCTAACCTGATCTAACCTAGCTGACCTTCCTTAAATATTCAATTAATATATTGAGTACATGTTTATATTAGATTTATAATTTTTAATGAGAAAACAACTTTATATTAATATTACTAGCTGACTGTGTGATAACACACGCAGGGCCGTTTTGATAATTTGTAGGGCTAGCAGCAAAGACAAATTGATAGATCTAAAATCATACACAATGTGCATGTCTACAGAATGTAGTCATTTACGTTGTGTTACTGTATCAAAATTAGGGGTAATAAATACAACTTTTATTACTATTACAGTTTGAATGGCATAATTGTTATGACCGGGCAATGATAAAACTACGAGTATAATATCATAGCGTTATAGATTCGGGGCATAGCAAGGGATCTTTTGATTTTTCTATATATGATGTGATTTTTGTTTGTGTCTGTGAGCAGTTTTCTACCAGAAATATTGCTCCAATTGAAAAACAACAGAGACCTTTTTTGACGTATTTTTAATTTAGTTGATCAATTTTTTTTTTATTGATTTTCCCAGTAGTTTTTTTCAATAATTGAGTAAAACCGAAAAAAAACATAGAAGTATCGGTTCTTTTTTTTTTGAGTATACACGTATTACACCTGTAGTAAAATGTTGATATACGGTGTATACGTACTACACCTTTTGGGAACGCCGTTTCTCTCTATATAGTATACTATAATTTAAAACTGTTTTCGCAGTGTCAGTGTAATTATTTATAATATTACTAGTTGGTTCATCAATAGTTTATATTATGTACACACTACACATGTATATCAATTTGTTTTTAAAACAATCTTCATTTTTCGTTACGAGTTTATCATAAAAGTAGTCACTTTCGGGTCAGACAAATTCCATTTGAATTTATGGGAACCGTAAGCAACTACCGGTTAATGATTAGGTGAGAGTTTACCGATAAATTTATAATAATATTAATATTAAGACTAGGTGCCTACAAAATACCAGTCCGTAGTAAACAGTTATGTAATTAAATTATATGGACGTGAATCATAATATATTTTTTATATACGCGTAATAATTAGCCTCTATTCGTATAATTTTGTACTAAATGTCTAAATACCTAGGCGTCGCGAAGCGTTGAGCGCATCGATGATTCAAACTAATATTGCTCATATTGGCCGTCCGAAATGAATAATTTGAATACCTACCGACTTTAATAGTATCGTTCTATTTTCCAATTTTCTATAGTAGTACTGCGCGTAGAGATAATATTATTATCTAATACAGGCATATATACCTAGTAGGCACCCATGTTATGATCCCCTGCAGTACGACACCGATAAACGTTTAGTTTGTGAATAACAATCAAACAAATAGAAAAACAAATACGATTTTAAAATATTGTACTCATCTATCTAGTGACTATATTGAAACGAATACCGTTGATTTGAAATTGACCGACCGTCGAGTGGGATTGTTATTATAAAGTACACATTTATAATTTGTTATGGACAATATTGTAATAACAACATAGGTACCTACGCCTTGAAATAGTAAATACGATGTTATTGTTATTGCGACGTAATTTATAATAATATTAGTAATATTATGGCGATTTTTCAACGAATTCCTTACGCAGAATATATTATTATTATTATTATGAAACACCTTAGAATAATAATAACAAAATAAAAGATACGCTCTGCGTAATAAATTCTCGACGAGTTATTATGGTTACGGAATGCGTGGCGCCATCTACTCTGATGAACCGTAAACGTGTACGCCGGGGCCGGCAATACCGAAGTTCTTTGGGGGACGTTCGCCCGTTATCAGTATACCGCGGTACGTCACGTCCGTCCGTTGAACGGTCACGTCGAATCACGCCGGTGTGGCGAAAATCATCGAGAGGAGGAATGGAAGGGGTGACTATCGGTGATAAAAATAATATTGCTCGGCGGCGGAGATAATAATCGTTATCGGCGGAAAGCACGCCCACACGGCCACCGGGCGGACGGGTGTTCGGCCGGGGTCGCCGACGTGCACGACCGCGGACGAGCGGCCGCAACGGCCGCGGCGGCGACGCCGGCACTCGTGACTCGTTCGTCAGTCTTTTTAGTCGTAAACCGTAACGCCGTTTGTTGTGCCGTCGCCCGTTAACGTTCCGCGCGCCCGTCAGTCGATCATTCGCCTCCGGTCCGTTCTCATCGCCGTCGCCGTCGTGTTGTTCCGTGTGCAGTCCGCGTGCGCGCCGTCCGTACGCCCGAGTTTTTACAGCTCTACGCATTTTTCGACCGTGCGCCGCCGTCGTGTGCGTTTTGCGCGCGCGCGCGTACTCGCGTGAAAACCGTACACTGGTCGCAAACACCGTCTAGTCTAGTCGTAGTCTTCTCGTACAAGTATTGTGGTGAATAATAAATTCCCGGTTCGCGTGTGATCGTGCCGACGAAATTTACTATTATAGTTTTTTTCATTTTTCCTGTTCGCTTCTTCTTTACTCTCACTCTCTCTCTCTCTCTCTCTCTCTCTCTCTCTCCCCCGATACGTCAGACACTCACTCACACACACGCGCGCAAACAAACAAACACACATCACACATAGCGGTTTCGATCGCCCCGCCGCCACCAACGCCGCCGTCACACGGTGTCGTCGCCGGGTCGATTCACGCGACTCCCCCCGCATTACGGTTAAACGAATCTCGCGGGCCCCCGACGATACGGAATCCGCCGGCGTTTCAAAACGGTCCTGCCTCTATTGTGACAACGTGAAAACAGTGAAGAGGAGAAAAAAAAACACACATACCTGCGACGTCTGTGTCAGGCGTATTATAAGGGGGGAAAAAACGTTATAATATTATAGCGCGGTCCGGTATCGATCGCCCGCCCAGACGGTACCTAATGCCGTCGCCGAACCGTAGCAGCAGCAGCAGCAGTAGTAGTAGTAGTAGTAGCGGTAGTCCGGGTGCGACCGCTTTAACGCGGTTACCGTCGTCGCAACCGCAGTAGTCCCGCGTGCCTACGAGACGGGGAAGAACCGCGGCGGATTGAGCTGTTCGGCGAGCCATGCCGGCCAGTGGCCGTGGGCCGGAGCCGACGGCCGCCACCCCCGCAGTGGTCAATACGGCCGCCGCCAAGAAGACGTCGCTGGAAAGCGGCGACGATTCCGAGGAGGAGAGCGAAATCCTGGAGGAGAGCCCCTGCGGCCGGTGGTTGAAGAGACGCGAAGTGGTAAGAGCCGATGATATTTTTCAATAATGTCGTTTAACGAGAAAAAAAAAAATCACGACGATTCGCCGTAGCAATATTATCATTATAAACGATGGCGGGCGGTTTTCTTTTGAATTCTTCCGGTATCGTCGACGCGCGGCCGACAGTAATTAATTAATGGTCGTCCGAATATTGAACTCGCGCCGCCCGTCCGAGCGTTATGATCCCGATCGTCGCGGTCGTAAATCTCTGATAACAGAATAGTGATAAGCCGGTATTTTAAACACGCGTTCCGGATCGATAACGCGGTTACCGCCGCTATAAAACAACAACAGTATAATAATAATAATCGCCGTTGCGCGACGACCACCCACGATACGATTTTGTTTTAATCATTATATTCTGTATTGTGCTCTGCCTACCTATCTACTTACCTAATAAATATTAGTATCGGCCGAATGTAATACCGCGTTATCGTTGACAACGTTGACACGCGCGTTATCAGATACCCGCGCTACTAATCAAGTAATGATGATAAATCTTATCGTCTGACCGGGTATTCGCGTTGCATAGGTATTGTTATGCGGACATTATAATATTACCCAGTGGCGTGTCGGAACATTTTTTCTTCATACTCGAGGCAAAACGAAAAAAAAAATTAGGACCCGCCCAATCAAAACACGGGTTTTCGCGTGTGCCTGTTACGCGTAATTGTCATAATTACAGCTGTAACTTTATTCAGCTATATTGACTTCACAATATAGGCTATCACATCCACGAGTAGGTGTAGTTTATTAATAATATAGTAAACAAAACTAAAGGCATCTGTCTCCGGTCTTGGCCGATTCTTCTTCTCGTACTATTTGACAGAACCTCCGAACCCGGTCCTTATATTCTTCAATTCATCCGTGACGGTATCGCTGATAACCGCATCTCGCCAATGGACAAGGTAAGTGATAAAGCCGTCTTAGATGCCACATGTGCCGCCGTCGCAGATGAATTATTAACGTACATGAGGATTATCGGACACGTAAGATGTTGAGAACATTATCCGTGTTTATACTTTTTCTTTTTTTTTACGGCGCTTCAATTTTTACATGCAAGTTACGAGTGTGGAAAATATTACAATTTAAACACGCTCGTGACTCGTTTTGAAATCGAAATATCGTGAAAAAGCCCACGCACAATCATGGATAACGTTCGTAACTTAAAGTTTGATACTAGGTGAATTCACTGCATTTGGTAACCTAACGGCACAATTTTGGTACCTATCTGCTGAACGTGAATTTGTTATGCGGCGTGCGGATTGGAAAGGGAAAACAAATAATAGTGCGCCAGACGCCCTCGCAGATAATTGTAACGATGCGAGTTTGTTTATTGTCCGTGTCGGGTTATCAAACTTTTTAGCCTCACTGAAATCAGAAAAATTCCTCGATTTCACGTATCTAATCAACATAGGTGCCTATAGTTAATGTGTTTAAACAAATCCTGAACGTATGCATTTTTTTGTTTAAAACTAAACCTGTCCGTACCATTATAACACATTTGGATTAGTATCAATAATAGTGAATAAAATACATGTTAATATAAAGCACATTCGCAGTTAGGTATTCGATTGATAGTTTTACGGCGCGTGAATTACATAAAAAAAAATATATATATGTACATTAGCCCGGGTAGTAGGTACACATTAAGCGTACAATAATAAAAAAAAATTATCGAATACAATATCACCCCTCCTTGTCAAAATTCTAAATTACAGATTTCTCAACGATTTCGTACTGGTCGGGGGGTTTTTTTTATTTTTTTTACTTTTCAATCAAACAAATTTTTTTTAACATTAAAAAACAAACGGACAAATAGATACGAACCATTATAACCCGCCGAGTACACACATGTCTGCCATGTGCCCACGTTTACCGGCCGTTTACTTGTATATTTGCGTATATTTGTTTAGTTTGTGTTCGCGCTATCACACTCGACTATAGTGCAGCGCGTTATCACTGTGTAATCAAAAATCGAGTCAAAAACGGACAACAAATGCACGGCCAACGTTTTAGGGACACCTACTACACAATTAAATCGGAGTTTTCATACACGACTGATAGCCGATAATTTCTCGTCTGCGTATTTTATAATATTGTTTTTGTTTTTGGTTTGCTGCAGTATTGTGCAATTTAAAACCATTTCACGAAACTTTAATAGGTACTTTAATACTCGCTTTAATAAAACAACTATTCATAATAAATTTTACTATTAGTAATAGTTCTGGTTTTAAAACTGATTAGAACAGTCATTTTCGTTGTTTTTATATATATGTATATTCGTTACTTTGAATGAACCGAATTATTTAAATACCAGTTGTATTATCGATTTGCATCATAAATTGCGCACGTTATACTCGAATCGAAAATAATTTTAAAAAAATACGACTAGACGGATCTATACTCGCGTTCAAAATGGTAAAATCTCTGTGCGTTCCACAGATTGGCGCTACATTACTCACGCATACAAATACTTACTTTTATCAGACGTGCTTTGACGATTACCCGATTATAGGTATTCGTGGTCAAGTAGGTATTTCCGTGTATTTTGCCGTTGTAATCTACAGCAGCGTTCGGTAACCTGCAAGACCCACTGGGAAGTTATCAGAGCTCGCCAAACTCGTCTTTTCTCTCGTTTTGGTTACGATAGTCAGATGAATTTTGATATTTTCCGGGCATCCCTGAAAATACCCCTGAAATTATAATAAGTTGAAATAATTTACTATTATTGGTTTAAACCGAAGTTAATTCACTGATTGTTAAACCACCGATTTCGGCGAGATAAGTTTGGTTCAAAAATGTTCTGCAATTTGATTGGTTGTTCATTAATGTTGATAACGAACAGTGGTATTATGATTATCAATAATTATTATTGATTACTTGTTTTAACGTTTGAACTTTCTTTTATGTAAAACCTACGAGTTTTCTTTTGTTTATTACATAATTGAAAATTATGAGAATTCGTGTAGAAATTAAACGGACGCTCAATTTTACGGCACAAGAAGAAGATTCGTTATTTCAACTTGTGCAAAAATTTAAACCAATTGTGGAGTGCGAAATGAGAAACAGTATTTAAAAGCTATAAGCATTGTCAATTCAATGAAATCTTCTGTCATATAATCTTCATTAACAGACATTGTAACCTCAATAATGTATGTACGAAACTATGAATAATTCGAAAACTAACGAACCACCAGCTAGTCCAACAGATTGACTGTTTCGCTATATCTATAGCTATTCACTATAGCACTATAGCACTATCACCTATAGCTTTTTCATTAATTGCATAGTGGTACCATACGCACCTATATCAGAAAACATCGGTAATACCACAGTTTACCGGAACCGAATAAAATCTGTGATTGTAATATCGGCAATAATTAAGCCTACGAGTCAGTTGAAAACCGAAGTTTAGCAAATTCGAGTTAAACGGGCTTTAATATATGGATGGAAATCTCTGCCTAGTATTTTATCAATGAACAACAGTGGGGAATAACCGAGGAGAGAGCGATTAATGGATCACCCCCCCTCTCTATTGAGGTTTACGTCACGTTATATTTGAATTTATATTGACAAAAATGTGTTGTTATAATTACATATCATTGGTCTCTAGATAAATAATTTAATTACGAAATATCTTTGCGTCAACTGTTGAAATAAGGGCGGATTTGAACAGGAGCGTTTGAGGAGAGTACTCAGAAATATTCCACGGGACAGGTTATGTTAGACAATATTTTCAATTAAAATTACCAAAATTTGTATGTTTTCCGTACCGATTAGAGCAAGTAATGGATTTCCAATAAGGTTAATGTGAAGGGTGGAAGCCTCCTTTTACTCAAAATTGAAGCTTATGATATTTCGGTAACATATATTATGATATATTATATGCCTAACCGAAAGCCATAAAACACGGCTTATTTACAAAGTATTTATAACCGGGTCGCGTTTGTTTAATAGCGAAATTACGAAAATATAAATTGATTATCGTTACTAAAATGAATTAAATGACGCGTCTATGGCGTATAAAAAACCCCGTGTAGCAGTTTGAATATTATTATAATGTACAAAATATATACGTGTAGACGTGTTTAATTCAATAATATCGCAGGTTGGCCTTGACCCTCGAATAAAATTCGTGTTAAACATTCGAGCCCTTGTAGTAACACGGTGTTGTGTTGGCGTGATAGAATTTTCATCGCGAACGATATTGGTTTTTTTTTTTTTTTTTTTAAGATTCTGAGTGAAGCGTTTTACTGTGATGCGTTTTTAGAATTTTTCTGTTTGTGTTCGGACAACTTTTCTGCCAGTATTCTCGATCCAATAATCGAAAAACCACAAGAGAGCTTTCTTGTGGCGTTTTGAATCTTGCAATCAGTGCATCGGTGAGGTCATTTTTTTTATTTTTCAAACGAGTTTCATAATAGTTGGGGAAAACCAAAGGAAAACTAAAAAGTTTACAAGATCATTAACGGTTTCATTATTTTGACGTTTTTAATTCGGTTGGAAATAATTTTTACAAAATACTACATATATTAGCCTTTTTTAGACGCGGTAAAATTTTCAAAATATTCTGACAATTTTTCGAGCCATTTTAATGCCTTTACAATTTTTCGGTCGAACAGAAAGAAAAACTTGAAAATTTAATACGAGAATCGTTATTATTATTTTATATTTTTGTTTGCGCGTTATTATTAATGAATCGTTGAAAATCGCCGTACTTTTAAATTCGATTTCGAACGGTTATGCAGTACGGCGTGCATTCGATTATTTTAAACTCGTCTGATAATTCTATCGCTGCTCCCGGTGACTATATAGGAACGGTTGAACGAACCCTGGGAAACCGAATTGGTGTGTATTAATTTTCGTATTTTTTTTTCCCCTCACTATTATTATTATTATTGATTATTAATTTAATTTCCGCCGCGTTTCACTGTGTTACATAATAATAATAATAATAATATTAAGTTATTGTATTGCGTTTGTAACTTTTACCGACTTGGAGTTAATTTCAGACGGAGTTAAAAATAAACGTTTTCGTGCGTTTAAAAATACTTTATAGATGATATTCGCCGTCGTTGGTCGTATGATTTCTAAAGGGGGAAAAAAAAGGCACCGATTTCCATTATTTTTCGTTACTGTCGACTGTATGCAGGTCGAACTAAAACCAACGTACGATTTGTCAACGAACGGTACCCATAGGTACCCAGGCAAAAGGTCGAATATTTTGGTCGTAAATATTATGCGTATCGGTTTTTTTGTATTGTTTTTTTTTTTCTAATCTATTCAATAACTCGCATATCGCACCGATCTATGACCTCATACGTTATCTAAATCGCGTTATTTACTATCAATCTGTTATCGGACACCGAGCAACTATATCGCGAATATTTAGCGTCAGAGCCGGATCGATTCGCGAACTTTGCGCGATAATTAAATATTTAAAATTGTATACACCGTGTACGGACCGTCAGTAATTTTCATCGTCGTTATTATTATGCCCTTGATTTTTATAAGACGTGAACGGCTAATTATTATTAGTATTAGGTACTGTATCTGGGTTATCATCGTGGACAAATTAAACCATTTTAAACGCATTCGGTTTTTATTGCTTCGTTTATACTTTATTATACTTGTGTATATAGAAAAAAAAATAACAGTTTTTTCTCGTTTTAAATGTGTTTTTGTTTTACAAATGTGTATGCTTTTTACACGTTTAAGGTTTTAAGTTTTCAAGATATCAAACATGTTTTTTTTTTTTGTTTTGAACATTATATTTGTAAATATAATTATTAACTATAAATAGAATTTGATCGTAATTATTTAAGACAAAAATAACAATTGGAGAAACATAACTTCTTTATTCAAATGTTGAAATGTGCATACCTATTGACTGTTTATTTGAATTTATATTTTATTTTTTAACTATTTATGTAAATATCTTCATTATTGAGAACAAATTTAATTTTTGAAAAATTTTTAGTTGTTTTTCAAGCATAGGAACTTGTTGAATATAAAGTGTTTAAAACATTTCGTAACTTTAATTATATTATTGTCTACGTTATGCTGTTTTCGCTTAATCTATACTATTTGATTCAGGGTTTTGACTTTGTGTACAGAAATATATTATCGTCAGCTTCGCGTCAAAACCTCGCGTAATTCGATTTTTCAAAATCGTATACGTGGCAAAATTTTCACTAATGAGTTTTTCAAAAATTCGATATACTTTTAAGTACGCACACAAGTATTATGTCCAACAAGGATTCAAGAGGTTTTACCAAATGCTTTACTGATACAAACTGATTTGTCGAAAACAGTTCATATAAGGCTATTAAAGTTCATTTATTTTGTATAAGTACCTAATATTATCATAGTATAGAAATATCACGTAAATTTTATCACAACGATAATATTAAACTGTATAGATAAGTAGACCTAGTAAAAGTCTACTTATCCATTTAAAAAAAAAAATCAATTTTTTGACTTAAAAGATTTTGCGTACTAATGGTAGTTTTTTTTTTTAATACAACTAATGGTTTAAATTCACGTTGGTTTACCCGGTGTTCTGGACGGTTTTAAAATATACTGATAGTTAATAGACTATTGAAATTAATTTCGAAATTCTCGACACGTCTTATGCAAATTTGTATACGTGTTCACTCTATATAGATACCTAATATCATACTGATATGATAAAACGTTAACTTATTATAGTTTTTTGTATCAGCTAATCGTTATAATAGTTGCAAATATCACATATTATACATCTCGTTTTATCGCAGAAATTTATCTTTTTATTATTATGATTCTACGAGTTCCTTGACCAGCGATAGTGCCAATTATGTTGTGCACACGTTATACGATCTTTTTTTTTTCATCACTTCGCGCTTATACGCGTTCCTCAGTTAATTAATTAATTAATTCATTTCACTCTACCGTGAAAATTAATTATAAGTAAGTAAGTAAGTTAGTGAGTGGTTGGTAGGAAGGTAATATATGTAATTTAATAATCTTTATGTGGACATAATAATCACATGTGCTGTTTCCGTTTTACAAATAACATATAAATACGACATAGGAAATTCGCTGTCAGCAGGAACGACTTATTTGCTATTATATTATACTCGTATTTTTAATATTAGATAGTGAATCAACCTATATTATCAAACTCAAACATTGACCGTGCAACTGCGGCAGTTTTATTTCTCGATATTTTAATTTTCAAGCGAGACGCGCAGGTGTATGTAAATTATCACAATTTAAAAAAGTCGTCTTGCTTGTTAAAAATTAAAATATCGAAAACCATTATCCGCGTGGTTCCAGAGATAATGTTCTTATACCTTTATGTCTGATAATTGGCCAATTCACTGTAATATTAAAACTGTTTAACGGCACAAAATTGTCCCAGGAGTTGTCCTTCCTGAACTCAAATTTGTTATGCCGGTAGTATCTATACAATTATAAGACGCACATGGTATCATGTATTCTAAATTTATTATATATAGTACCTATTGAATATTGCTTATTGATAATATTATTTTACCGATCGACCGAAATCGACGATAATCTATCCAAATCTCATAAAAACTCAATTAAATGGTATATTGTCTAATTGTAGCAGATTTTACTTTATAAAAAAAAAATAATAATAATATAATACATATATATTTTTGGTTTTAGGCCAACCTTATATATCCCCCTTCTTCTACGCCGTTGTTCCCGTCGGAATTCTCGCGAGTATTTGTTGCATTCCCTTACGATCCATTAATTTAGGCGAAAACAACTATTTTTAATGCCCGACATTTGGCATGCAAAATTGACAAGACAATACTGTGTGGTTTGTTTCAAACGATCGTACGGCTATTAAGATATTGTTCGAATTCGACGGAAGAACCCGCCAATGTCTCGTGAAGTATGTTTTGCGCGTCCAATCGATAGCGGTTACGTATCGCTGTTTTTGAAATCTTATTTTTTTTTTTTTTTGAACACGATAAATTCAATAGGTAGATACGCGTTCTCCAAAAAAATTCAATACAATTTAGTTTATTTTAAACGAAATTTTTGAATTCACGTTTATTTGAACCGTAATAATTAGCCGTTGCTTTCCGTAAACTTTATACTGTATGGCCGGATGTAATATCGTGGTTAATTTTATTTAAATATAGTGATTTATAGTTAAAGGAAAACTTGATTTTAAAAAACCGAACATTCACCTACCCAAACGCAGTAGACTTCTATGTGACTTATGTAAGGTGAACACCTTCTATTTCTCTCCCTCCCCCCCCCCGAATTCAAATGGTCTCTATTTGCTGCTTGTGATAAATTATAAGTCGAGCACGTGTTCAAGTTTTATTTTTTCGCTAATAATGTATATCTACATTGTACATCGTATAAAATTATAAGACATTATAATTCAAATAAAGAAAAACAATAGTATCTAACATCGAAATAACGTAAAACGTAATATCGGTACCAATCAAATTATTTCTATTACCCATTTTAAATAATTATTAAAACTGAAATTAAATTATAATAAATTATATTATATCATACGACTGTATGATAAGTCAAGCTTATCTGTACAATAACTGGCGGTTAAATTAAATATTACGTTACGGCTTATTTTTAGTAAAATGGATGGGTACCTTTTGTATATAATATTCAAATAAGAAAATCCACACTTTAAGAAACCCTAATCATTACCATAATAATATTATCTGTGTAAATAAACGCTTGATATTTTAATCTATATTTATTTAACATTAATTTCAATGTGGCTAATTTAATTTATGAAACATTATGACAATCATAATCTGTACATAATTTTCGAAGACTTGGCAATTATTTTGTGTTCGTGCCGATCATCATCTGCTTCTTCTAGTATCGATGAGTCATAATTACCTAATTGAAATTAGACAGAGAATTGGGTTGGGTACCCATAGTTAAATTTTTTACGTAAAATTAAATTGTATTGTTGTTTCCGTTTAGGAGCTTGCGCGTCACTTGTTTTTTTTTACTTAAATGTTTTGTTTTACATGGTGAAACTCGCATGTCTTGTGGAGTAAACCGGTTTCGGTAACATTGTTTTTTGTTAGAAAGAGGAAAAGCTTTTGCATGGCGCATTAGACTTTGATTTTGAAAATTATAATTCTTAACGATGAATATATAGCTCGTGTTTGAATGTGACCAATTTATTTATGTTTTGTTATCTATTTGTTTTTGTGATTTTGTTAGAAAATTTCCTTTTTCCTTTTTCGACAAAACAAAAAAAGAAACTTTCCCAAATAGGATCACTCTACGAGACATTAAAGTTTTTTTGTAAAGTATATTTTGAGTAAAAAACAGGTTGTGCGCAGGTCCTTTAAAGTTCAAGCCTTAATATCTATATATATAAATTTTTTTTACTTTTAGAAGCAATTATACAATCTATATTATATAGACAAAATAATATATGTGTGGTTAGAAACGCAGAGAACATGAGATAATTAATTTGAAGAAAGAAACCACGCAATAATGACGCTTTCAATTTGCTATGCCTTAATATAAAAATTAAAACTAATTGAATTAAGCACGTATTTAAAATAGTTAAGTCTTGAGTATAATTGTAAATGTTAAAAATGTTATAAAAACTAAAAGGTTAGGTTTTAAAGTTATTGCCTATAATCAGGGTTGCGAAGTGTTTTAAACACTTATGTTTCGAACGTTTCATATATATATATTTTTAAAACCTTCATAAATTAAATTAAAATATCTTATATTTTCTAAAGAATGAAGAAATAGTACCTATTCATTCTTAAAATATAAATGAAAAGTTCATATACCTATATGTATTTTGGACAAAGCTGTAACATTTTAAAACTTAAAATTTTGTTACACGCCTGTTTATTGTATAATCACTGATTACTAACTATTATTATCACGTATCGGGTTAGCAGCAACAGTGGTTTTAATTTGTATAATTTTGTGAACAGCACGGTTTTACGTAATGGTACGAGGTATATATTATTAATATTACTTTATTGGATTATACTATAATATGTATATTGCTACCGCGTGTATATTTTATGTTCTCGACCTTGGTTTTTTTTTTTTTTTGTGCCGGTACCATTTGCTTTTAAACGTACGCATATAACATTGTACAATATTTAATTAATTGCACAGTACATATTAAAATATAACAATTCGGTTGTCACAAAACGAGAAATTATTATACGGAATGATAGGATTTTACGGAAGCGTGATCAAATGCCATTATTTTATAATAATACCGACTTGTGCGATGGGCAGGTCTGCCCTGTTCATTAAATCCCGAAGAAAAGTTTTAGTTTAATATTGCAATTTTTATATTCTCCGAGTCGAAGTACTCAGTACATAAATTGCGTGTTTTCACTCGGGAAATTGTCTTATTATTAATATTCTTGAAACGGTAACAAATTTTAATATAAGTATTATAATAATATTATAGTTTGATGACTAAAAAATAATAATTAAATTTAACAAACGTTTGCAATAATTATTCTACAGTAAAATGTTTATTTTTTTAAAATTTATTATCTTAATGATCTCTGTTTATGTAATTATACGTCACTATTACTATTGTTGGTGTCCCATGGGTTTAAAGTCAATTTTTTAGATTTTATATCATAGTTTTACATGATATTATACCATAATTTCTTTCTTTTTTTAAATTTTTTTTATGAAATTGACATGATTCCGTTGATTTTACAATGCCGTTTATTTCTTCTTTGTTCTAGTCTGTGGACACGGTTTTTCCTAGTAAATTTGCTCCGACTTTTACGTTTAGCAATTTTTCTGAAAGCTCAAGTTGTCTAGATTGTACCTTAAACAGATTACTTTTGATTTTCGATGCCATTATTTAAATAAAAGCACATAAGTGGGAAAAAAACGCAGGAAAACGTACAATTTCACGATTTCATTATTTTATAAAAACATGGACGAAGTTTTTTACGAGAAAAAATAATTTAATCGAAAAATCACAAACTACCTTTTTGATTTACTTTTTTACGATGTATCGCCAAAAATGTCGAGCCACTTTTGAACTTTAAAGGAATTTTAATTTTGGAAGTTTTTTCGCTGTTATTCGGTTATAAATATACGTAGAGACCTGAAACTTGGTAATAATACTTATATTGTACTTACCTAGACATTGTAAAATTTCCAAAATCATCGGATGACTTTTTTTTTTAATAAACGTTTTGAAATCAAATTTAAACGAAAATCATACAAAGAATTACGGCATTTCGAATTATGTATTACCAATCTGCGCTCAAAATCGTCTTTCGTCAGCAATAGTTTATCTTTGCTTACAGATATAATAATCTTATGTATCTTACCTTCCGAACTTCCCACCTACAACAGTAGCTTTACCCGTTCCCCAGTATCAGCTCTTTTTTAAACTTGGATTTCTTAAACAAGTTTTAAAATTCCAAGATGAACATACTGTTGTTCAGAGATATTGGACGACACAAGTCGTCCAATGTGTCGAACCCGAGGTTGAACCTAATCTTTTGGGATTTTTTTCATGATAAGTAGACTTAAAAATCCATGCTCATACAAATACGCGTTTCATAGGCATTCATTATTCCGTTCTATAATTTAGCTAAAATTAGGTGTACCTCGATGGTTTTTGCATAATATCGAATTTAATTAATAATAATTTACGTAACGCTAAATGTATTGTTATTTATTTACATTAATTTAATATAATATTAAAACGATATTTATACCCGGCCGTTATTATTCTTGTAGTTATTTTTAACTGCATAATATTATAATTTAAAGACAATCGTTAATAAATATTATTTATTTAGTCTGCAGTCTTTGGAATTTGTTTTTACTAATAATATTATTATTATTTTATTATTTATTCCAATGTACGATCGAATTAAACTATTGGATCGTATTTTTTTTTTCGGTCAATATTAATAAACTATATAGTTGATAATATGAGTTTGACGTTAAGTCCGGATAACATATTTTATTGGTATAGACATGGAAATGCGTAATTAAAATCTGCGTCGATATTTTCCATTATAAATGTCGTTAAATCATTTTATACAAACTGCGCGTTCATGGGTAGTCGAGTATACCGTTCAGTTGCGCGGGTTTCAAGTTTTTTTTTTATTAAAATTTCTAAAACCAATTGATCAAAAAATGTATCTTTAACTTTTTTTTCTACATATAAACAAATAGGTATTAGCAGGTATAAATAATTAAAAAAAAAAAAAAAAACTAATTTTTAATACCGTGTTCCTCGGATAGGTACATTGGAAAGAAGAAAAAAGAAACATCTAACAATGAGTATAGCTGGTATATCGGACACCGAGTTATTGTGTGATGTTGACGTGGATGCCTATGGGGACGACCGTCGTTTCTGAGAAAATATTTCAATGCTCGCATACTATAAGTGTTATATTATGATCATGTAAGATCGTACAGCATATTTTTATAGGTATTTTTTTTTTTTTTAATAGAAAAACAGTGAATTAATTTAAAATAATTTTAAAATAGAAAATATCCTCTGGGCTAGACCATATATACAGTTGCTCGAAAAAGTTTCAAACACTGGTGGGTACCCGTATAATATTCGAGATCGTCGGCCTCGCTATAATATTATTGTCCAAATGGCATTTGTATACTAATATAGAGTATAACAGAAGAGAGCCATTCAATTAACGAATACACCGTGTAAACGGATGCGAATTGAAATGCCCTTAGCCCGAAACGTTGTGATTCGCGTCGCGGGACTCTGGTTACGGGATATAATAATAATAATAATAATAATAATATTATTATACGAATCGCAAATTATTTTGACATTGACTCCCTCGCGGCTATATTAGAGCACGGTGGTGGGGGGGGGGTGGTGTTGGTGTACTCCTCGAATTTCTTCGGAACGAGCTGATAATTCTATAACATAGAACCGGAGTCGGTGTGATAATATTATTATTATTATTATTATTATTATTATTATCATCATAATCATCATCATCATTATAACCTTGTTTATCGTATTGAATGTACGCATAATATATTATACGGTTACGTTATATTTGTGGGTACCTGCAGTAATAATAACCGTCCGGATTGTATGCGGTTGAAAAAAAACAACTAGTTATAAGTATATATATATAACAACTTAAATGCATCTTATTATACATCGATATCGTCTACATATTATGTTATATTCTCTGGATTCGTATATATGTAGGCATATACGTATATATTTACAAAACGTTTTTGTTATTCTCGGTATCGAATTCCTGTTAATTATTTAGATTCTGAGTGCAGCGAAGAACCAACGAAGTTTTACTAAATTATTCGCTCTTTTTCACGGAAAACAACCTTTCGGCTGGTAAAAATGAAACAGTTCTTTCGAGCTTTTTAGTACTTTTTCCAAAAAATTCGTTTTTTAAGATTTCTCGGAAAACATGTTTTCAGTAAGTAAGAATTATCCAAATTATTTGCATCGTATCGTAAAAGGTGCACGTTATTCAAACAACAGTTCTAACAGGAAATGTCTACACATTGGTTTTATTTTTGTTTAATTCTGGGTTACCTTGGTTACGAGACAGACAAATAATACACTACTCCGATTACAATCGTTTTTTCGTTTACAATGATTTTTTCGTTGCATACAGTATATACTACTACTAAAAAATTACTCTGTATATCATATCTTGTCAACTATTCACCTACAACAGTGGACTAGCCTACCCGTGAAAAATATCGACTTTGTTAACTTTTGAAAATATTTCTATGTATTTTTAATTTTATTTCCCCATACTAGAATTATAATATTATTTGAAAGACATTTTATATAAATACCTCGCAGTTGTACGTTTTCAATATTTATAACTGTATTGATTATTACTGCTGATTAAAAACGCTATTGTGTTGTTATCTTGGTTTTTATTTACCTATACATATACACGATATGTTAATATCATCAAAATACGTAGCTATACCTATATAATAGTATACACTTATACGTCAAAATATACGATAATGTTATAAAATCCTGTTTGTACTAGTGTAGGTATATACCGTTATATTATTGCTTAATTATCATTAAACTGGCACGATGGCTAAAATAGTTTTGGTAAATTTTTAAAGTGTTTTCAAGGACGTCCGGGAAAGCCAATCGAATACCATAAGAACAAAAGACTATGGTAATACACTACTGATCGTAATTTTCGTGTTATAATATATATATATATATAGGTATAGGTACATATACCGCTACCTATCACAAATAAATTAAATTCTTTACAGAAACTCATTTTGCATTGGTCGAAAAATTCGGACACTGGGTAAAAATTTCATTCGATACAACATAGTATTATATTTTATCGTTCTAATTTTTTTTCTCTCGTATATTTGGCGGTGACACTAAAATATCGAATATAGGGTCGAGTATATCATTACTATTAGGTATTATGTTTTTTGTTTTTTAAAGGGCGTTGTCCTGTAATGTTCACGTATACGCACTAAATCTGATGTCATTTCTCTTTAACGAACATATTATTACAGTAATATGTTCTTTTTGTTTTGTAATTGATATTTTTAAACAACATATTGTATTTAGTTTAAATGGAGAAATTATAGTTTGGTATAAAAATATAATGACATATACTTTATGTTTTCATTCGAACTACTGCTCAGAATGAAGAAGAGGAAATTAGCCTAATATGTAGGACATCTGACGAGAGACTCAAGTGGAGATTTTTCATTGAGCAACGGAGAAAATTAATAGTATCAAGGAATGGATTAAAATGGCGGGAATAGAAAATAGTGGAAACGATTTATTAGGATTACTCTCGGGAATACCTGAGATTTCAGCCTCGAAGACATAACACATGAATAATAAAAATATACTTTTTCTTTATGTTATAATATTATGTGTATTTTCAATAAAATCTGTACAAATTCAGTAGGTATACTCATGCATTATTATTTTAATATAACGGGTAACCCATTACCGAAAGTGAGTTATCGCAGCAGAGATGAATTCGAATTATATGTGATATTTTTGATTTATTATTGGGTTCGAAAAATAATCAAAGTGAAAGTTATATGCACCGATGAATAAAATATACGATACGATATTTTATTCTTGATATATGATGTATATATACTTATTCGTTTTTTAAATTCCATATACTTATTGAAAAATTGATTTTTTTATTTTCTAAAATGGACGTTTAAATATAAACCGAGATATAAGATATGTGGAATGTAGATTAGTAATGTAGAAATAATTTTAACAGAAGTTCGATTATATTTATTACCGAATTGGATTTTTGGATTTTTAAATGGTATGTTGTTTGGAGTGTGGCTCTACGTAACTGTGAAACATGGAAAATCTACAGAAGAGAAAAGAAAAACTAGAGGCTTTCGAAATGTGGTGTTGTTAGAAAATGCTCAAGATTCAGTGGATAGAAAGAATCTTGGAAAGAGTAACTTAATAGTTAATTCGAGTTTCTTAATAACTCGAAGAAGTATTGTATAGAATTAAGAAATTACGGGAACTTTGGCCAAGTATAAAGGTCAGAAGGGACAAAATTATTGGCTATATACTGCGTCATAGAAAAGGATGGTCATATTAGAATAGGAAGACCAAGGATTGTGTACATAAAACAAATCATAATACACACGAATAAGGATAGTTACAAAGGAGTTAAAGGAATTGAGTTATGAAAGGGAAGCATTTATGCTTCCCTTTCATAGGTGAACTGGCCATGGCAAAAATAATGTTTCGTGGTTATGTTATAGATTTTCGAATACAATTTCGATAATCACTCAGGAGTCGACTTTTTGAAGCATTAATTTCGAATGTCGTAAAAACGTTTTTCTGTGCATAACTTCTGGCAAAACCTTAGTCGTCGTAGAGCTACTATAGGAATGACATTACCCCCGCAATCTGCATGCTCAATATAAACAGACGGGTAATGAATTATTAGAAACGCGTCTTATCGGCTGCCGATGGTGCATTTAATTATAGTAACTAGTGTTATCTGGTGTTTGCACGTGCGTACACGATGCATTTATAATAATATATGTGAATGCAACAGTATACATTTTTTAAACCATTAAATCGCTGTCATTATTATAGGTATAGGTGTATTTATTGTATTGTTTGTTTTGCAATACAAAAAAAAAACACGCTTTTTCGATAACCAATATTGTTAGTTTAAAAACATAGCTTTAAAAAAGGTTTTAAATTTTTGGTTATACATATTTGTGTTGCAAACCAAACGCTTCTTTATTTTTTTTTACAGTTTTAACATCGATTTGGATGTTATATTATTTTTATACACTTAATTTACGAATTTACACAGATTTCCATACATATTTATATCGATTACCTAGCTATTGCAATTTAAACACGACTCGAGGGGCTATTTGAATCGTTGCGTGTTTTACAAAACTACTGAAAGAACTATAATGCATATATATAGAACTGGATATAAATCTATAGTACAATTGTCGAATCTATAGAACTAAATAACACTCGTATGATATTACAATAGAAACATACAAAATCAACCCTGTCTCGCGTTGTCTAGTGTATCCATTATACATATACGTATCTAAAATGATAATTAATTCGAATTAGTCAAAATAAATATAACCAGGTACAAATACAACAGGGCAATGTTGTTTTAATACAAATATGCTATTCAACATAACAATATAATAGTAGAATCGTGTATGTTTTTTTTTTTTTTAAAATAAAATAAATTAACAAATGGAGGACCTTGTGTTTTTATGGAATTTTTTGTTCTACTAAATATCTATATAGGTGTTTGTATTTCGCCTATAATAGGCAGTGCGGGATAAAAATATTCTGATGTGCTATTGGCAACGTATATGACAAATTTCCACACCACGATGATATTATGATATGTGTGCGGATGGATGCGAAATTCGGTAGGTATAACTATAGTTGATTTGATGATGCGCCGCGCCCAATCGAATTGACGGATGTGCGCATTGAGATTTATAACCTTGGGTCAAAAAGGTCACTCTCTCGTCATATATAATACTACTATATTCATTCATAAATATTAAAACTGACAAAGATTTAACCGAATCGCGTATAAAATCGAGTCGGGTCATCATAATATATTTTTTCGACCCGTGTGTAGACCGTAAATAATATATTATAAGTATAAATGCAATTTTTGTACGTTTAGGCTGTTTTAGTGTTGCATAATATGTTTAGTTATATGTTTAGTTTTGTTATACGTCTGAAAAAAAATAGACTGATTTGGTTTGGGCATGTTACGAGGAGAGAGAGATCAGAAACAGTAAGATTGGTAATGAAAATAAATATTGGAGTAGACGAAGGGAAAAACCGAAAAATGGTGGTTGGATGCGATTAAGAATGATATGAGGACACTGAAGGACAGCCAGTGTATGCGAGGTGGGAGATCAGGTCAAGTAAGCATTTATGACGAAGTGGCTCGATTCCAAGTAGCTGGGATGAAGACGAAAGAGGAGGAGAAGAAGAAGAAGATAGGTATACACTATACACAATGAGTATTATATTCTCTAGACGATTTTTTTTTTTGAAAATTGACTAGTATTACGACAAGCAGATATATTACGATATATTATATCGTAGATACACGAATTATGATTCTAACTTAATGGCCAACTATGGCCAGATCAAAAAGGGTAAGATAAAAATACGGCCAAATAGAAAATTGGACATTTTTTCCGTGGTCATAGTTTTCTCCGTTAGAGGCGAGTAGTTTAGTTATTTGAAATTATAATTATTGTAATTATAATTAATTATTGCCTATATTGTGTTTTAAACATAATTTATATTAGTAATAATAATAAACAATAATACTCGTAGGGTATAATGACCATGGTCATGGAAAAATATCGTAATTTTTTTTATCTCCTTTTTTTTGTTTCTGGTCATTATTATCGACTATCATTAAAACTATTTTCAACGTTGTCGAGTGAATATTTCTCCGCTCTATTCAGAATACTGTAAATCCTACGTGTATATAATTTTGTAGTAGCAGAGAATAATACAATGTTAAGTTTTCTTGAAGTTGTAATAATATAGGTACAACTTTATTTTATAGCTAAAAAATGACATTATATGCTAGGTGTCCGTTATTAGATATCAATATAGGTATACGCGTATAGATTCTGTAACTCGTTGTACAAAATGGATAGGGTATTAATTTTTTTACAAATAACGAGAGACTGTATTTTTTTTTATTATTATCTAGTATAATATTAATATCTGTCGTTGATCTATTCACACGCAGAGAAATATTATTGGTGTATAATATATTGGTATAGACGCTCGTTAAAAATATTACGTATCGCCTCGAAACTTTATGTAGCGTCTATTTTTAGACAATAGAATTGTATAACGTGTGTTGGTACAATAAAATAAATCGAATGTGTGGGCCATAAGGATAATAGTGGTGTATATATAGGTATTTGTATGTGTGTGTATGTATAAATATATAAAGGTAGGCAGTATGGTATGTGAATAGTGGATTATCCTTAAACGCTCGACATACATACGTGACTCATCCAATGTTAACCAGTTTACTTGTATATTTTTATGATAAAAAAAAAAAAAAAAAAAAAAAATAGAAAGTATATCTATATGTGCTGTAAAATGTTTTTTTCTTCAGAAGAAATATTTAATTTAAATATATTACTATAACTATTAAATAAGAATTATAATTAGTAAATTATTCGGTAAATTTAAAATTTAAAAAAAAACACCATAACCAGATTTGTAAAGTATTTGAGTAAAAGTATTTAAATAAAAGTATTAGAATACTATCTTGGTATTCGAATACGTATAATATGGCGTTAAATACTTCTACGAATATGATTTTTCATTGTATATAATATTTCAATATTTGTTTTGTCAATGTTTATGTAAATAATTGTTATTTTTAATATTTACTACAAGTAATACGTTTTATAGTAACTGAAGCCAATAACGTTTATTCATATATTAAATCTTTCAAATTTCTGTTGATTCGTAATATTTTTAAAATTTTGGCGTACCCTTATTATTTATATTATAAACAATTCAACTAAATATATATAGCAATAAATCAATAAAATCAATATTTTATTGTATCCTTGCCAATGATAGCGAAACGTTTAGTTTTTTAATCACCTTTATAGTAGTAGTACGTAAGTGGTTAGAATTTCGGTCCCCGTATTATTATTAAATAAAAGATTACCTGAATTTGATTAGACGTTACAATGGTTTAATCATTCGATTTTTTTTACAGGGTATTAACACTGATAAAAGTGAAAACGGTATTCTTAAGTTTTACAGTTCTTAAATTATGGTTTATTAAAAAAAAAAACAATGCGATTGGAGTATAGTCAAATTAACAAACAGTATTATTAGTGTAAATTATTACTTGTTAAGCTGAAATAACGTGTGTAAGTATAGTATACAGGCAAACATATTAAGCGATGTACTTTCCAAAAGTGGATTTCACACAACCGACAAAACATTTTTTAAAAAATGCTTTCATATCCAGTTTATTATATAAATATACATCATCATTGTAATCACTATAACTGCTCGTTTGCTTCGCTCCGCTCCGGAATCTATAAAAGCAATAAACGTGTATCGGCTCTATACCTACTATACATATTTTATAATATTCTATACATTATAATATATTATATATTTTTTTTTATACGGGCTTAGTCGATACTTACATTTTAATATATAATTTTTTAAGTTTAAAAAAGCAACACGATTCGTAAAAAGTCATTTTTAGTGAATTTTTCAATAATTTTTTTAAAGTTAATTAATATCCTGGCCCGATTTATAATATTATATGTGAATCTTTAATCGAACAGCATATCAGTTAATATAAAAACTAAAAACTAAAACATATCCTGCAAACGTTATGATTATATTATACGAGTTACAGACACACTTGTTGTAGAGTATTTATTTGTTAAATATTTTTATCGGTTAAAAATAATAAAGGCCGTGTAACCCTAATATGCATTTTATGGAAAAAAGTTAGATAATTTTGATCGAGCATCCCTTTCTTTCATTTTAGTGGAATTTGGTAATAATAACTCAACCCCTTCACTTGTCGCAAACGAGTTGACAAAAAACCAAAAAGAGGGTATATCATATTCGAATTTAATTAAAAAACTGAAGCATTTACGTAAAAATGTATCAGACCTTAAATATTAGAGAATGTACAATTATTTATGAAAAAATGTCTCGACAAAGTATCTACAATTTAAAATAACTTTATTTTTTCAATTTTTTTAATAAATTATACAATGAACGAGAAACGTTGTCAACAAATTTTTTTTTTTTTGTAAATAATTTTATATTCTGTGTAATTATTGTATATCTAAAATTAATAATAATTACGTCACACTTACTTTATAGTTTGATATGCATAAATATCGTCAGTGATATATATTTATTTTTTTTTACTTTTTAATCATTTTACTCTTCGTCCGTCGTTTCAAATGAAATATATAACAATAATAAACTATAGCATACTATAATATTATACAATAAAAACCGATGTCTCGCTTCTCTTGGGAACCGCCTAATTAAAATTTAAAAAATGTAATATTTAAAACGCGACACAGCGAATATTGTGTTCGGCGGAACCCTTCAGTTAAATTATAATAATTCCTCATTGGTACATGATATTTCTCACGACATATATTATTACGGCAATAATACTAATTGTAATATTTAGATTCTGCAGAGCTAATAAATGAAAAAATATGTTATCTTTGTTATTATTATTATTATTGCTATATAATTACTTTGTGCCGTTAAAAACAGCTGTACATATGTATTTACTTATGCTCTCGAGAATTGTGAATACATGTGAAAAAAAATATCTGCAAGAGAGATCCGAAATGTTTAAAAGACTATTGGCCTTATATTATGCAAAATAATTAAAACAAACCTTCAAGTTTTAAGTTTTTCTTTGAAAAATAATTATAACGTGTTTAAATTTTAAGCGTATTAAAATTATATTACCTAAATGCAACAATATTATTCAAATTAATATAGTTGTATATTTTTTGTAACAGAAGAGATTCGAATTTGAATACTAAATTTAAAAAATACACATGTTATATATGAGGGAAATGTGCTCTTTTGAAAAATTCAAAATAAAATATCAAATATAATCTCGTTGTGTATAATGAAAATTATTTATATTATGCACCACTTTTAACAGTGTTTTTTGACTTTTCTCTACAGATATATCTACACTCCTATATAGCTCGAGTTATCACTTAAAAAATATATCTGAGACTGTTTTCAAGTTTAGAAATTTTCGCGTGTATCCTGTAGACTATTTCTAAATTTTCCCGATATTTCAAGTATACCTATTGGAAATTATGAAAAACGTAAATGAAATTTAAGCAGATAATGTGTAATTTTGAGTTGGAATACAGTAATTGTTGTGGTTTGATATAATAATATATAATAATAACATTTTTTAACGTATCCAGCAGCCGAGGGACTTATTCTGAACGGAGAGACAAGAGACGAATATCCTGTTATTTTATTATTCTGATTTATATTATAACTTATCACATAATTTATTATGTTAAGTATTGGAATATTTAAATGATTTTTTTATAACTAAAAAAGATCATAATGCATACAGATAACTTCAACAACAAATAAATAATTTGTCATGTGCATTAAGAATCTATTAGTAATATAAGTTAAAACTTGTATTATTTAGTATTTAAATGCTAAGAGGAGGCATCAATCCCTAGATTTTTCCCCTTGTATCTGATCCTGTATATGAAGGTACCTGAATAATACTGATGAGTGATGAAATGCCTTGTAAAAATCAAAACATTATTCTTATGACACCAACATACAGCAAAAACCGTGTCAAACTGAACACATAATTTTTAATTTCGTTCTTTTTCACTATAGTTGTTTTTGAATACCTAAATTATAACAATATTATTATACGACTATATACATTTATTCGTTTATGTATTTCGTAAATAATAATAATAATAATAATAATAATAATAATAAAAATAACATTATAAACGTTTAGATTATTGGTACTAAATTGATTTATTTACAAATTAATCGGATTAATAGGAATATAACCGATGTTTAATTGATCTAATTAGTTCACCTAATGATTTTATTTTTTTCCTAATTCACATACCTACTTAATAGCTATATTATAATATAAATACACGTTACGAGTATCTTGAAATAGTCGATTGTAATAACTATAATAATTGATTTATCGTGAGTAACTTGTTTGAGCAATACAAAACCGCATTGATCAAATCATTAATCAATGACTCTAAACTACATAGTTATTATACATTTATAAATAGACACGAATACACATACCGTATAACAATATATTATATTATATATAATATAAAAACAAGTAGAATGTCATGACTTATATTGTACATAATATATTAAATTGTCGTTTGAGTAAATTATTATTCCATAGATGTCATTTTTTTTTTTTTATACACGATCGGTTCTTTTTAGAATTTTAAATTACTATTTGAGTATTTTTTAATATATACCTGTGTTCCTTTCCCGTATTCCACAACATGTAATATTGCACGACGTCGTGTTTTTATTTACGTTGTAATAATTTTCTTTTAAATTCTCGTTGTAGGGAAGCTGTTAGGTAAAGTTACTTAAATGATAAGGTGTGTTTTTCTGAAAATAATTTTTTTTATTGAGTTAAATTTTCAGATTTTTTCTCGCAGTACCTTAAAAGATGTGGAATTCCTATCAAGTGGTACTTAACTTGGGATATTTTTTGAAATTCTCAACATTTCACCCCCTAGATTTTCTGTTTTGTATTTTTTCTTCTTAAATACTTTCAGTTAGTCAAAATCCTTCAAATATTGATTTCGTACTTCAAAAATGATCGATCATTTATCCGGTGGCAGTTTTTTTAAAACATTTCTCAAGATATCTAACGATTTTCCTATAAAAGAAAAAATTAAAACCTTACAACAAATGACAATTATTACATTCGTTTCATTTCTGTCGATTTCTGGGTTACCTTGGCTACAATGGAAAAACACGACTAATACTATAACCATTATTCAATCATGGCAATGATTTATCGTTGCTTTTAGTACATGAACTACACTACTCTGTATAGTATATTATATCCTTAGCTTCTAGACTTCCCACCTATAGCAGTGGCTTATCCGTAGTAGGTATCAAGTGTGTTTGGCTTTTTTAAAAATTTATGTCTGCGATATTTTGATTTAACTATATTGTTATTTTATTCGCTAATCATATAAGCAAAATATAATTTTTAAATGTTTTTATCTAAAAATACACCAACTTCATATATTTATGCTCATCACTGAAAATTGTTTGACATTTATCTGGAGATATATGCACAATATAGATGGTGATTTGAGTTACTTAGAAATCCCCATATTCGTGTAAAAACCGACAAAACGACGACGTGTTTTGTTGGTTATCAAACCAGTAGCGTATTTACACTCCCTATCTGAATCTGAGTTCGGCTTAACCCAAAACGTTGGTTTTAGATGATTTTCCAAAACATAACTCATTAATTGGTTCAGACCTGATATAACTCCAAGAAAGTTTGTTACCGAAGTGTGAAACTTGAACCTATATGGTGTTCCAGTTGATAAAAAATCATACCGACGGGGATTGCATATTTTTTTATTTCACCTGGGCCGAACTCGGATAGTCTGTAAATACATGGTCTGCTGTTTGTTTTAAAAACATAATGATAATAATAATAATAATATAACGTGCTTAATATTATTACTGTGTGAAGGCTGACATTATTGACACTAACGGTGGGAGCGGTGCACAGACTGCTTAAAATGTAGGACACAATGTCAAATCTCGCGACATTATTAGGCTAACCGCCCAATAAAAAAAAATAAAATAAAAAATAACGATAATAGGAGTAAATTGGTGCATAGATCCATTGATTGATATTTTTATTATAACGAGTAGGTACCTATCGAATCAGTTGTACGAATAAAAAAATATACGTATGTATATATATATATACCTACTAACACTATACAGCTGATGCTACATGAGACAAAAGACTTCTAAACACTGTTATTATATTTTAATTAGAAAAAGATAAAAAAAATAAAATTATAATTATAATATTACGATGAAAATTATACTAGATAAATATTGTAGATTTTTTTAATACGTATGTACAATTTTACATAGTGTTGTTCGTTTAAGTTGGAGAAAATATAAGTTTAGAAAAAAAAAAAATATTTGTACTTTGGTTTAAAGAGGACTTTTTTTTTAGAGCACAATATTATAAGATTATTGTTTTGACTACCTATATTATAATTCATAATATTGTATATACATATACAGCTAGAAAACAATGAATTAGCAAACATATGTAATAGGTATGTGCTGTAAAACAATTATTATATTTCAGACACTGACAAAGCTACGGTTTCTTTTGATTTGTGTGTTTTGTATTGAACAAAACTCGTGTATTACATAATATTCTATACTTGTATAGAGTGAGTCAGTAAGACTCACGATGATATTATTATCGAAAATTTATTTCGTTTATAATTTAAAAATCTGTAGTGCGATGACAAAAAGCTTGAGAAGTCATTGTATATACAATTTAAATTTACAAAAAACGAGAATAAAATTTACAAAAAAAATATAATAATAATTAGTAAAGCTCATTCTGCGATGCGCGCTATGTTCTCGGTTTCTTAACAATTAACCATAATTTAATGTACAGTTTCTAAAGAATGCCACCGTTGTAGGTGAGAAGTTGGAAAGGTAAAGGGGGAATTTAATATATATTTGTACGTAACGATTTTGAGCTGAGTTCAGGTATGTTTTGAATGGCCGTAATATTTACGATTTGAATATAATACATTTCGTAAATTTTCCCATATTTCCTACGTTTTTTCCCGATTTTTTAAATTTATTATTAGAAAAATAAAAAAGAATACCTCTTTATTACCATATCAGTCAAATTTTCTTTCAGAAAAGGTGCTACAATTGAAAATTTAAGCAAATTTCTAATAGAAAAGTTGTTTACAGAAAAAAAAAAATTATAAAAAATAAACATCTCTGTAAAATCTTTAAACCAAATATCAACAATCATAACTATACGAACGGACACAACGGGAATTTATGGTATTCTAAATTTATATTTAAAAACCTAAACACGTATCATCTATAGACATAGTCATTCATTAGGGGAAGTAGCATGAAGGAGAAATGTCCCTTCTGAAATCGTATATTAAAACCAGAAAAAATTGCTTTTATTTATGGGGCTTTGACGCATAACTTGGATGATTATCGGTTCACCTTTTCGTTATGGAACTATCATCACTCTATAGCATATTCTAGCCTTTTAAGTTAATTAACTACAACATTTTAGCGTTTAAGTGATCCCGTAAACCTGAATCTATACTACTTATCTTAACTAACAGACAATATTAACGAAATTGCATTATTTAAGACACTAACATTGAGGTGTTTAAATTGAAAACGTTGTTTAAACTCAAATGACAACATTTAAAAAAAAATTGAATATTTTGGTAGGGTATCCAAATAAGTTTTTTTCTAAAATAATATTGTCGTACAACAGTTCGAGCCGCATGTTAGAATTTCGAGTGGTTTTTTAATTTTTAATATAGCTGTAACGTTTTTGTGTGTCAATTTTCGTCTGGAAAAAAGGTATACGTACAGTTTTCGAAAATTTGTTCGTCTTTAAATTTTGTTATGTTGTTAAATTACAATATTATATTCGTTTTGTTGCCCGTTGGTTAGACCGAGACCGTATAAATGCGGGCGTGGCGTCTTCTTAATAAATATTATTAAATAAACGATTGTTTTTTTTTAACACGTAGGTAGCTTAATCTGTTTGTTTTTCGTTTATGTCGGAATTATATTATTACTATTTAAAACAAATATTATATAGGTACATACTCTAAACGCATCACTTTCACCTTTGGCATATTTTATGCGCAATATAATTTTTACAACTATTGTCTACTTAGAAACTAAGCATATGTTATACGCTAGACACTTAATGCCCATATACTATTATACGACATATAATAGTTATATATGTGTATGTTTATTGTTATTCTATTAATATTAAAATTTCAATTTTATCCTTTCTATCTGCGATACCATGCTACTGTTATGTATTTCGATTTTTTGCTTTTTTTTTATTATTATTTAATTATATTTAGAATATGAAGAAATAGTAATAGTAATTTATATATTTATTACAAATAATATAGGTAAACTATTTTAAATCATGGCTATTAACATAGATAATCGAATTACTAAAACTCTTAATAATTATTACGTTTCTTTAATCACGTAACCATTTTGAAATCTGGTAGGTACACTTTTACTACTTTTTGCAGTTGTGTGCTTTTTTTTTATTTAGATGAAAACAATTGCTAATTATTTATCTTTATCTAGATATTTAAAATGTAATCTTCATACAACACTACGCTTACTTATTTCATTATACCAATCATCCATTTATAACGACGGTGTTGCACGTTTAGGTGTTTACCGGCGTGTATAGATGTATAAATATAGGTGTTTATAAAAATGGATCTAAGGGAAATCAAATTTCAATATCTACTACAATATATGCCGTACGTATATAACGTGTATAATATGGAACATTTGTGTGCGCGCGTGCTGCGAGTTGTATGGCCAGCTGTTTTTTATCGTTAGGAAGTGGTTGGCGACTCAACGGCGCTGCAGCGGGGTCAATGGACGCCACCCCTAATACATACGTACATCAAGTTCTTAAACATTTGATGACAATAATATATATATTTTTTTAGATTTGGAGCGTATTTATTATTAACGTTTATGACCGCAGTTCGAATAGCACTAAAAATCTTGATAAAAAACAACTAAAATCCAAAACAAAACAAAAAAAACATTAAAAAAATGCAATTCTAAAGCTTAAAAAAAAACATTTCAATAAAATAAAACACAATATTATTGATTTTTAATTTTTTGTTTCCTATATTTTTACACAAATAAAAAAAAAAAAAAAATTAGTTATAAAATTGAAAACATTTCTATAGTTATAACGAGGCACTGTTATTATTATTATTATTATTATTATTATTATTGGTTTTTACAGAAAATGCTACAGTTCATGTAAAGTGTATAATATATTATTGATTTAAATAAAAAAATAAAAATTTCTTATTGTCTATGAGCCATGTGGTAAGCCATAATAATAAATACAATTTGGTTGTCATGTGAATGCGACAAATATTTGTATTCGGATTGAAATGCGTTTTATACTCGGTTTTATATCTAGTTTTGTATATTATCTCTAAATATAGTAAATAAATATATAAATACAAAATTTATGTATACAAATTGTTTATTTATATATTTATTTACAAGTACTAAACATTTTAATAATTTTGTTTTTACTTTATTATTTTATTATATATTATCTCTATTGTTAGATGATAATATTTTTAAATTTATACTTTTATTGATTTTACTGTTTGTTTGTTTGTTGTATAGAAGGTTAAATTGACTGACTATCTATATGAGTTTAAAGACATTTTCTCGTATATGCCGTCGACGTTGTGATTGCTATTTGGTATAAAATCAACACTGTAAAACAGATTTTTTTTATCGGTATAACAACTGCACATAGTATTATATGTAGTGAACATCTTATTGTTAATTTTTTTTTTTTTACTTTAGAAACGTTTAAAACTCTGAAAACTCGACATAACGTGGCGTAACCTATTATATTCCAGCGAATGCACTATATGTTTAGGTATATATTGTTTTGTGAACATTATGAAAAAAAAAATTATATGTTTACCCAACACGTTCGATTCGATGAATGTAAATTTTTAATATACAAAGGAGGTTGCGATTGTGAATGAATACCGTATATAATATGACGGTATATTTATTTTAGTTTTGTGTATCTAGTAAACTGCAGTTAAAACGGGATATGAAATACTGGATCAGACGTTCGAAAATTGATATTTATTATTTTCGATTCGTTGTCCGTGAACGACGGAGTAAAATAAAAAAAAAAACGGCACGTTGTGGTGTATAGGAATATAATTTATTTAAACTTTTTTTTTTTTATTCTCGTTGTATTTCATATATTATTATTGTCTATAAGAATTTTTTTTTCATTCTATTAAGATACCTCAAATGGCTCAAATATATTCATATCCGTTCTTGATGGTCGACCTTATTTTTATTAAATATCATATCTAAGTATAATATAAAGCTGGTAATTGTTTTTCAATGAACAGGAATTTCACCTATGTAATTATTTACGCGGCGACGAGGCCGTCAAAATACAACCTCATACTTCAGTAAATATAATATCAATGATAATAGTTTAAGGTCGTAAAGTTCTTTGTAACAAGTTTCGTTTTCAAACAATCCGCGTTTACTACACAATTTACTTATAATAGTGTATAACCCAATGGTTCTCAACGTGGGTGATATCGCTCCAGGAGATTGGTGGATGGTTATTGTGGAGGCGACGGAGGGGGCCTTGAATATATTTTGGATGGTAGGGAAACGACGAGCATGTTTTTACATAAAAGGCGTTTACGCTTCATTCACGGAACGAAACTAAGTTCATTTTTGGACATTCGTTCAATTTTTTATTTATTTTTTTTTTTTTTTAAAGAATGGTTTTAAAGTATATTTACCATATATATTTTTTAAAAATTCAAAATTCATTAATACCCTCCTCTTTCCGATGGCCTTATTAATTTCATGATTCCCATATTAGTGGGGAGGAGCGTTGCAAAAATCGTTGAGAAACACTTAGCGTATACGTATTGCAGTGATGTCAATGTAGACAAATTTAAACCCTTAAATTTATAGCCACGGTGAAATTGCACCGAAAGATGCGAAAGGTGAATGATAAATATTTCTTTTATGTACTCCTTTGAGTGTTATATTACTATATATTTGTATATCATACGAATTTAAGGTTACCAAACTTCCTAGTTTCTACATACATACAGATGAGTGTCCTCCGGAGATATGACAAATACAATGCGCTTTTACTGTTCAATATTTTTAAGTTTTTTTTTCTAATAATTATTTTAGAGTCATACGAAAAAAAAACAAATTTTGGAAAAAGTTAATACTTTCCGAGATAATGAGTGTACCCACTTAAATGATATAAGATATCTATGAGCTACGACCAAGCCGGCTGGATATCTATACTTAATAGAAAAATATTCTAATATAATATATTAAAAAAATAGTTTTAAAACCAAATAAAAATAAAAATGCGGTGATGATTAAACGTAGCCAGACTGATTCGTGAAAGTTTTAAATAGCTGTATACCGTATTGACGGGCACACACGAACAATGCATGTTAGTCCTCCGCCTATTTTATTAATAGGGTTTTAAATGATTTCTGAGGTTTTTTTTTTTTAATGTAATAAAAAAAATATCATTTATTAACAATATTATCCTATTAGTACCCACTTATACATTCCTATAGAAACTAAATACTTTCGAATACACTTACAAAAACATTATTCAATATAACGATGAACTCAATAATGATATCACAACCAATCTTTACCCAGAGACGTATTTCAATGTTTAGCAACCTGGGGCACTGTTATTTTAGAGCCATATCATAAAAAACACGCTGAAATTTCAAATTGCACACTTTACATTTTGTACAGTACACTTTGGACACTAAACACTTAACATTAGTTAAGACCCTGAGAATCCTAAGGGAATGTAAACTGTGAGTTGAAATTTATATTTTAAAAAAAAAAATTCTATTTGACTATGTCCTTAAAGATTATGACTCCTTCTTAAAATGTGACGCCTGGGGCCAATTCTCGTCCCCCTGTATCTCCTTAAATACGACCCTGTTCGCATCATCTATAGGTTACAGTTACATCTACGAAAAACACGAGTTAATAAAATATTTCTAATTTACAATACTTAATATGTAAGTTTTTTATTTTGTTTCTAACTTTGAAGAGTAGTTTTCAAAAGTATGTATACTCTAAAAAAAAACAAATGTAGAGTACGTGGTTTATATTAGGTACCTACGCTTTTGAATTTATTTCCTCGCGTGTTATTAATAATCGAATATTTTAGTCACAAAAATAATAAGCATTTAAAATACGAGAGAAGTTTAGTGTTAAACGTTGGAAATTAAAATTAAATATGTAATCGAAAATGATTGGTAATTATAATTATTGATAAATAAATTCAATTTAGTTACGTGAATATTGGTTCCCAAAATAAATGATTTCTTTTGCCATTATCGCATGCAGTATAAACGGTTCAAAAAAAAACCTATACGATTCGAGAAAAAATAAATGTATCCATTGGATATAGGTAATATGTATATGGATCATTTTCGACATTTCCAATCGTTTTAATTTTCAAACGTGTAAAATGCAGGCGGTTTTTTTTCTACACGTCATATTTCCTCAATATATATAATATAAATTCATTAAACATTTTTCGTTAATGACTTACGTATCATCTATGCATAGTAATATATAGTTCCAACGGATTATAATAATAAGAAACGCTCGACCGAGTTCGCCTAATTTGATTAACCGTGTAAAGTATTTGCGTGTATACCTATGTATAATTTTTTTTTCAAAATAGCTATTCATTTTTGTTTTTTTTTTTAAATAACTGTGCATAATATCGAGAAATGTTTAAAATATAGAACTTTTATCGCCTCTACCGCCGTTCTGATATTATAATTAATATAATATTGTGTTAAATAATAATAATATAATGCTGCAGTCTGTTATATAGTTAAAAGGTTAGGATAGGATGGCACTGGCAATGGCGCATTATTGATAACGAAATATTGATCAACGTGATACGAGTATTATTAAAACGATATTGCGTAGGATTTGAATAAAATGTTGGTAAATCGTATTCGAATTAAATATAATTTTATATTGATATGGCAATACCGTATATTTCGTGAAATTTTACAATTATATACTAACTACACGAAACGAACGTTACTGAGTAGTGGTTGTCTTCGGCCGTTACCTATTCAAATATTGTAAATCATACGGGTATGACTATATTATTTATACAATATATGGAAATAATTAATTATCGGGAATTTATTTACAATATTATCACATGGTCGCCACGGTACGAAAAAATATTGACAATTATTATTATACACTTCTTTTCTTTTTCGTGTCGGTTAGCAAAGCCATATTTCTTTTTGAAGCCTCTGGTCTAGTTCATGTATCAGTTCGATAATCTCGTCATTTGGTTCCCTGAATATATCGCTTCTCCTGCATCATGCACTATTAAATGTCAAAATAAATTATCAATTCTAGAATGTTATAATTTTAAAACCAACATCGTTTTCTATTTGTTTCATTTTTTTTTTTTTTTTAATTAATTAAAAATTACATTTATTTTATATCAGTTATAAGATATGCTTGTTGTCAGTGGTATATTTAGAATTTTTCCTAGGAGGTATATATATTGAATTTGGAAATTGTATCACAATGAAAGTTCTTGTACCTTACTAAAAAAAAATCCATTTTTAATTAATGTATTTGTGTAAATAATTTATTTTTCATTCTGCCTTAACATTATCACAGAATTCCAAATAATTGGTATATCCTGGGAAACAACCGTTTTTAATTTATTTACTATTCAAGTTATAGAATAATATCCTTCATATAATAGCGATTCGGGCATAGGTTTCGTTTTAAACGAGACTACATCTCCCTAATCTCCCCCCCCCCCTCCGCCCAGTAAATACGTTACTGTCAAAAACAATATTTTTATTAATTTGTCTCGTTGTTTTAATACTAAAAATTTAATTTGTTCTTAATCAGTTATCAGGCAGGTACTTTTTGTTACGTTTTAATAATACTGTTGTACAATAAACAAAATATGCCATATGCCTACGCGTATATCTAACTGTAGTATGGAATCGAATTTTCTCCACCATCTATCGTTCGGTAAGAACAATAAAATGTTTTGTACACACACGTGTGAGAGTTCGTATTATTATTATTATTATTATTATTATTATTATTATAAGCGTGTCCACCTAATTTCGGATAATTTGTTCGTGACATTTTATACTGTTCGGTTCGCACTGCAGCGTCACAATAATATACAGTAATATATTATTCATAATACATAATATTACACTGTGTTAATCTAAATTATTTTGCTACGCACCAACATTATAACAGTTATAACGTGCGTCTTGTCGAAAAGTATAAAATAACACACACACACACACACACACACACTACACAGTAATATAAAGTATATAGGTGGTATCTATTTTCTCACACGTTTTAAAAAATATTGTGTTCAGGTGAATTTATAATAATACTGCTGTATCAACAATATATATTTATATATATATATATATATATATATATATTACAATGTTCTCGTTTCTGATTGTCGTGTTATATGTGTACCTATATTCTATCAAATACGACAGGCTAACAAAAAAAAAAAAAAAAATAACAAAATAAAATAATCGAACGGTTTTTCAATCGGGCGATTTTTTTTTTTTTTTTCACTTTTTCCAAAGTTGCTGCAGCGATGTTTAATGTCTGCACCGAACTATTACAACTATTTCCTCGTCACTACACACATTTCCCACCCACCGCCGCCCCCTATGCATTACGTTTAACGAACATTCTTCAAACGGTTATTATAAATTGTTTTTCCGTGTACGTTTGCTGTTTTACGATTGTTAAAAAGTCGAGACGCTTTACACAATGAGTGTTTCTTTCTGGGAATTCCCCGTTACAGTGTATGTTATAGTTTCTAAACGCGAACCGTACGGAACAAAACAGGTTTTGTTTGTTATCCGTGCGGTTTGCGTTAGACTTTTTTTTTTTCATTATTTCAATCTAGTGCATTGCCGCTGGTATAGGTTCGTTGCTTCGTTGTCGCGATCATTTTCTGTGGAATTGAGAATCTGCCAACAGTTTGCCGCGCATGAGTTGTCGTCCATACATTACCTATAACTAGTAAGAGAGAAAAAAAATCATACTTCACGAATAATAATTTCGTAAACCGCTACAATATTATAGTTATATAACTGTTAGATCTGTGAATTGTGTCAAAAACCGCAAATTAAATATCCACGGTTTTTTTTTTTTTTTTTTGTGCACTAAAAACGGACAAAATATGCTTTTGAAGTTCTTAAAATACGTCAAAAACCGTGCACCGATCTTTCAAAAGTCTGCAAAAAATCGAAAAAAACGTTAATAATTATTTATTCAGTGTAATAAAATGTTTTTTGCCACGAATGCATAATTACAATATTGCTCGACTTGAGTAGCATTCAATAAAATTAGATAACAACCAGTTAAATTAACTAAACGAACATTTTTCGTCACGCGAAAGTATACCCAAGTACGGAATGACAGTAACATTTTCATCGGAACTCTAAAAGTCATATTTCCAATACAAATACTTATATGCCAGTTTAACTGTAGACTAGACTGACCAGAATATTAGGAAATACAACGCACAAAATGCACGGAATCGCGTATTTATAATATTTTCCAACCCGTTATTTATGCAAACTTATTATGCTAAATACAGTGTATATAATGTACTTAAATAACACAAAACCAATTTTAATCGAATCAATTTTTGTATACGAATAAGCGGGAAATCTGTAAATTGAATACATTAAATTCACAGCTATTATATTATAATGAATTCAATTTGAAATGAATACGTTAAGATCGTCACAATGTATGTTTCACGATTATCGTATAATATTTTAATTATTTATATATTTGAATGTTTATTTCGTTTCAAATTTGTATAACATTTCATTATTTTGTCACCCTGCGCTCTGTATATAAGTATTCTACTAGCCATCATAGTTGTGCGTATAGCCACGTAAATGTAGACATAAACTAACAAACTATTATTGTGTACGAATACAAAAATTAAAATTGCGTTCGAACTTTTTCAACCGTTTGATCGTTATCTGGGTTTTTGATGTTAATATATAGGCAGGTATAACTCGTATAACCAGAAATTATCCGATAATACGAGTACATAAAAAAAAACCTTACTGGCGTGTATACATCAATATACAATTTTAAATTCGAGTTTCAAATATAAATACAAATACATTAATATGCTGTAAAAAATATTAAAGATAATAACTAAAGCGGTTGAAATTGACTCTGCTATACTTCTTCCCTTTAAATGGGCACCGGACATTATAGATTAGTGGACAATTCGTATAATTAAAGCGGTCGTTAAAAGAGATAAAAGATAATTTTAAAAATTTCACAGAATCAGAGAAAATTCGGAATCCCATTAAAAATCAAAAAAAAAAAAATGCAAAATGTAAATTATATTAGTGTAATTAAAAATACACGAACCGATTTTTTTACAATATATCTCCGTGCATCGAGCTTTGGAAAACAATTATGCAAAGTGCACTGAAATCCCATCGTACCCTAATTATTACATTTATACACATCTATGCGATATTTTATGGAAATATTTTCTAAATCAAAGAAAACAACAGACTTCCAACCATCAACGTGCACTTTACGTATAATATTAATAGTCCACGATGAAGGAAAATAAAAATTACATCGCGCGTGTTTTAAACGCGTAATACGTTTATAATGCTCGTATGTATATAGGTATACTCTTAATTACCATAATATTATAACGAATATATTATTTTACCGTCATTATAGATTTATAGTGTATTTGTGTATTAGATAATTATATGAAACCGTAAATGCGTACCTATCTACAATTTATAATAATATTGTATGTTATAACCGCGGCTTACGCATCAAGAGGTGGGTGGAAAAAAAAAACTCGCTAAAAGAATTCGTTATTGGCATTTGTAACACGATCATTGGCCACAAATATTATATTGTTTTCGATAAAATAAATAAAATACTATTATCGTTATTATATTATACTATCATATTATTATTATTATTATTATTGTTATTATTATCATTATTATTATATCTCGTGAAATTCTCTTTTGTCAATGATATGTTATAATAATACAAATAACTACCTACCTTTATTATTATTATTATGGAGGTGTGCGCGTTCAGATATATTATTATAGCGTTATATAAAGTAATATCGCACGATAATAATATTGTCTGTAGTATTGTAAGTATTGTTATTTTTCGGATGCGTTTATAATTTGTTTTTTTCCCCCTATAAAATTATACACTGTGTATATCATGTGTTGACTATCCGGGCAAGGCTGTAAAGCGAAATTACCGTATGGTGTGATAAGAAGTCACTGTAATTTGTTCACCTATATGTTCAGTTAAATGGCCAGAAGAGGTTCTTTTAACATCCTTCCCCCATCGCTTTTCTTTTAGCTACCTATGGGTAAGTCGTAGACCTCTAAACCCCCCGAAACCATCCATCATTGATAAATCCTGGCTACGCTACTGATTATGTTTGATATTGTTCTTTTCCATTCGTATATATTTTGAAAGTACTCGTACGTACACGTTTACAACGAAATCTGTCGAATTTACGGCATGTTTGCTAAGAATGAAATATATTAAAATAGCTGATATAGAGCATGTTTCGATATAAAAACGTCGTATTTCGCATTTTGTGTTACTACCTTGTGTCTTAGAGCGGCAGTGCAGCTGTTGTAATAATAATAACTATAACTTCGTTTATTACTTATATAGGCTAGTGTAGGATTTATTTTTTCACGTTTTAGCGGTACCCATACCCATAGAAACGTTGAAGAAACGCACGTATATAGTCTCGTTTTTGCGGCGCACATTCAATTATTATACGCGTTACAGAGCTCTCTTATCTGTCCATTACACGGGTTGTCGCGCGTTGTTAGTTACGTGACGTTTCGAAAGTACAAGGCGACGACGGTGGCAAAAATCACAATAAATCTCGCGCCGGGGTCTCGGTGCCGACACCCATACGACACCGACTGTATAATAATAATAATAATGATAATAATAAAAACCGCTGCAGAACCGTTTCCATTAATAATATTGGTATTTGGTTCTCTACCTATACACTTATTATTATCGCTGTACTTGTCCGGACAAAATATTTCGACCTGCACACAATTCCGGAAAATCTATAATAAATCGTGACTATTATTCCTGCCAATCGCGTGTGAAATAATCAAAAGTTTGGTATTTGTTCTGTTCAATAATGTATAATATTGTTAAACAACACTATACAGTGACGATACTCCCCGGCTTTAAAAACAAAAAGCTCCGAGAAGTCGAAGACAATACTTCTAAGATTTTCTTGAAAATCCGTTGACTTTGGCGCCACTGAATACATGTGCTGTCTAGTCACAACTGCGTCGGCCTATACTAGTTTTATGTACACATAATTATATGTTTCAACGCTTAATCATCTTCAATTTTACGCCGACTTGAGTGGATTTTAAAGAAATTATTTAAAATATTGTCTTCGAATTTTTTTGTGTTTTTTTTTTTTTTATTTGTATTTTTTGGTATAAAGGTTTTACCTGGGTTTAATTTTTATTTTTTTATAGTTTTATTTTGGGATTCCTAGTTATTGCACACTTGTTCTTATGTATTTATTAAAAACATACAATAAACAACTGAATTCAAATGTTTGTTTTGCACTAAAGTATAAAACAACAAAACATTTCCTTTTAGTTTTAAAATACAAGCCGATGCGTCTTTTTTTCTGCAAACTTATTTACATAGTCATGGATATTGATTTTTTTTTTTAATTAATTAAACATTTTTCAATTATAATTATTTAAAATAATTTAATAACGAGTAATTTTATTCATGAAAATATTAAACATCTCGTCACGACTGTTGAAAAGCCGCAAAAAATGAATGCTTGTCTCGAAAATAACAGCATGTATGGCATTGAATGTTAAATGACTGGATGATATGCACAGCCTGTCTTAATAAACGTGATAACTTTTATTGAATTCGTAATATTATCATAAAATAATTGATTTTTTTCAAGTGGTAAGGGGTAGAAGTCCCTTTTAATTACGCTACTGACCCCCCTCCCATCAATGGTGAATTTGTTTCGTCTCCTTGTGGAGGAAGCAATATATTTTCGATCTGAATGGCAAATACTCGTCATAATTCATAATTATTCGCTATTAACTCGCTCATTATAGATGACGTCATCGAAATGTGTGTTATTTAGGTCGAAATAAAATAATATTGACAACTTCATAGAATACTAATATGAACAATAATAAATGTAATGGGACGACGATGAATCATTAGATCCGCGGCTTTTAAATTCCCATAATATAGTGGACTCGCCGGCGTCTGAGAAGAAAATTCCACGCGATTCATTCATGGTTAGTATATTTTGTTGCGTACGGCGGCCCATCCTCCCGTCGAAAATTCTTGGTGCACGCCACTGTTCGTCCAATAAGGTATACCCCGAATGGACTTTGGAACTCTATACGTTAGTGTTGAATAGACAGCGACAACGATGACGTGTTAGACGGCATCTATCTGGACGACCGGAGTTATTTAATCCCGCGCCGCGCCGCGCCACTCGTCGCTCCGTTGCCGTCTGCGTCCTCGCGCCAATTGTTACGCGTCGTCTACTGCTCGGCGTCGGCGGCGCGTGTTTTGCGTGCGCGGTGCCACTGTGTGTGCGTGTGCGTGTGCGTGTGTATGGCAGCCAAAACCGTTACGACTCGTAAAACCGTCGCCGCCGCTCGCCACTCCCGTCTACGTCCGCGCAGACCCCTCGGTCGCCGGTACCCATTCACCGCGTGTACACATTCGATAAATAGTCCCGGACGCGCGTGTGTGTTTAGGACCCGAAGGGGGTCGAGAGCGCTGCCAGACGAAAAATCACCGCGAATAAAACACGTACCCGGGGCGCCTGTCGTCTGGTCTCCGCCGCCGCCACTGCCGTCCGGTCGATAATTTCGCGATTTCGTATTAGGTGTAGCGCGCCCCCTACCCCCCCCCCCATTTGCGAATTACAAACGCGCTGCGTTATTTTATTGTTGTGCAACCGCGAGAGCTTGTCCTAGGTCGGAGTCTCGTGTCTGGCGGCGGCGGTGCAGTAGAACGACGACGCGCCGCAGGTTTATTTTCCGCCGGTCGTGTCCCGAGACCGGAGTGGGTTTTTTTTTCGCTTTTACGACATTGACCTCCGTCGCCGCACGAGAGAAAGTACTATGCGCGAACATCGCGTGACCGTCCTGCAAATTCGCGCTCGTCTCGTGTCGTATTCGATTATTGTAATAGTCGTGTTATAATGTTATACACCTAGCCAGTACTAAGTATTATAATAAGTATTTACGTGTGTGTGTGTGTGTGTGTGTGTGTGTGTGTGTGTATGTGTGTGTGTAAAGGGAATTTAACTCGAAACGATACCGGAAACGACCGCATGACGGTGTCACAATCGATTGTTTTTTTTAAAAAAACGCGGGAGTGGCACGTTATTTGTGTTCCGATCCCTTACGCCGAATATATTTATATTGTACTTAATCGATGGTACGGTGAGAAAGTTATTACGGGGTAGTCGCCTTTGGCTACGTGCGCGCGTGTTGGTAGTTTAGGTTAGGTTAGGTGTTTACCGATAGATAATTTTACTGGATTTTGCTTAGTAAAAACTATATGCAATGTATCAGACACACGAGATACATGGGTAAAATAATGGGTTTTACAATTTTTTGCTAATGTTTCATGCAACTTGTTCTATTGTTGTGACACACAATGTAATTGCCACGATTAAGTAAATACTATTGTGTTAAGAAATTACCCAGTAAGCTCTGTATGCGCTCACATTTTTGTTTTTAATTTTCCGCCTAGCTATGCTTCAAAAGTGCGTTAATGTCTACTGAATAATTTTATCGCCCCACCACTGTACTAAATATATTATTATGCATTTTATAATTTGCTTAACAAAATATAACGTGTTTCGTGTGCGTCTCGCAAGGTTCTCCGCAATTCCGTATCAGTATACAATTCGAAGGCTAAACGTCGTATTGCCACTATTCCCTGAAATCGCTTTAAAAATCAGGGTGTATCCCAACACTGTATAGACGAGAATACGTCTATACGGAGTAAATTGTAACGTGCTCCAAAATGTCGACGATTGCCTATATTTAGCCCGTTGTACTTCATTGTCCCTATCAGCTGTTTAATAACATCCGTCTCGGGCACTTATAACTTTTTATTTTTGTAAATTGTTATTATATCGTTGGTCTCCATGGAAGAAGGACTTAGTAAATTTTCGGAATTTTCTCTTATGCAATATATTCCCTTTATATTTTGGTCTAAATGGTGTAAGTGTATGGATACATGTTAACTCGGATAAAAATACCTTCGTCTCTATTATTTACTTTTTGTTTGGCATAAAGGCGTAATTCATTATAGTGATATGATATATGATATAGGATATTTAAAACGTCATATTGAAGTTAGATCATTTGGCAATTTTGCCAATATGTCATTTAATAGTTTTCAAAATTTAAATTTTCTACAAAAACTCACAAAATTGACTTAAGCCCATCTCCCTGAAGTCAAATATATTATTATTCATTATTATAACTCTAATGTTTCTACCTATATATACCTTTATATTTTAATTTTTAAATTAAACGCCAACTTCAATGTTTTATTTTAGTAAATTCTCTTACTACTATTAACTGTTCTATTATTTCATATTTTATCTTGAATTTATTTTTATTGATACTTCAACTTCTTCGATAAGAGGTTTTCTTCGGTTGTGAATTGGGTCATAAAACGTTTTTTTCTTTTGTTTCTTTACTTGTACAATCTATTGTAATAAAATGTAATATTTAATCGGGAAATTAAATTATCATCAATTATTAATTGTCAACTATTACTGTAAATTCAAACATTGTTTTTTTCTAGAAGTACTTACTGTCTATAATTTGTACCTAATTAAATATTGTTTATTTCACAAAACAACAAATTGAAAAAAAAAATGTTGAGAATAAACATCTTTGTAACAGAATTTAAATGAGACTAAAAGAGTAAAAAGTCTATGGTCTTCTAACAGTGTAAATTAATCTATTAATTTAATACTTTTGATTCCGTTTGCTTATAATTGCTATCAGTTTTACTATCATAAAAACTGAACTCATTCTATTGGCAAACTGGTTATGAAATGGAATGCTACAGTGTCCCGCACTGAGTTATAGTATTGGATGGTACGTTTTCATCATATTATGTTTGTTTTGTATTTTAATTTATATGGTTTTGACAAATCTTAAAGTATTTTATGTAAATGTAATTTTATGAACAACTGTACATTTTATCCATATTTTATAGTGGATATTTTTTCGGGTGGGGGGGGTGAACCAGTCATCTCTGAAATAAACACTGCCTTTAGGTATGGCGATAATACCAAAATAAATTAGGTTAATTTAGATAGCTTTGAAGTTATACCTATTTATTATAAATAAATTATTATGTACATTGATTATATGATGGTATTTTTAGTAGTTTTCGATATAATTATAATATTTTATTCTAAAAATCACCGCGAAAAAAGTTAAAGTTAAAATCTGGTAGTATTTCCACGTGAGCATGTTCGTAAGTTGTTAACATTGACCTTTTATTAATTCCTGTAAAAATAAATCAATCGCCCAAGAACACTGCAAGTCATTATTCGTCTTAATCAAAGAGCTAATAATCTCAAACAATTTCTATTGTCCAATATTTTTACGTCTGAGGTAAAGATTTTTTTTATATTTATCTTATACATAATATAAAAGCCGTGATTCGTCCGTCTGTCTGCAACGCTAATTTACCATGGCCACCAAGTATCAAAATCCACTATACCCCTCAATAACGAAAATACAGCTAGTATATAATATATCTTATATATTATTGTAAATGCGAAAGTTTGCATGGATGAATGAATGTTTGTTACCCCTTCATGAAAAAACTACAAAACGGATTAAATTCAAATTTATATACATATAGTTTTAGAACAGGAATAACATTTAGGCTACTTTCCTCTTCCGTATTACTCCCTAAAGGAGGGGGCTTTTATAGACTTAATGGTATTGTTGGTACGAAAATATAATATTTTTGGTAATTTATTAGTTACTTTGGCGATATGGGTGAGAAAAAAAACAGTTGTTATTAGTTAATTTGGTTGTTATGGATAACGAAGTTCCCTTAAAAAAAATTATTTATCGTAGGTACAACGGTTATTTGTTATACTCGTAGATACGGTTTGGAAACAGGGAGACATCATGTTTTTATATTTTTATATTTGTTTTCGTTTTGTGCATTTGGAAAGCTGTGCAGACAACTTATGTGTATATATACAGTATATTGTATATATATTTTAACCACTGGTGGATTAATGTATCACCACTATAAATAAAATACAGTTAGGAAATGTTATTTTACGTGTATATAGAATATATAATATAAATACCTCCAACAGTCGGTTAATCTATATTGCTTGCAGATTTTTTTTTTTACCAAAAAAACAATCTCAATACAAATTCGTTTATACCTATATATATTGCAGTGATATTTTCGCATCACTAATTATCATTATTTTTTTTTCGACCACGTCATAAATGTTTATAATTGCATCGTCGTTTATGTATATTATATATTATTTACCTAGTTTTTCGGGATAAGATTTTTGAATAGTCTCACTAATTTTAAAAATCAATAACAACAGATAAGAAAACCGTTAAAGAACTTATAGACACACACACACACTTATTAACGAAAAGTTCATAACCACGAGTATTACCTCTGCATCATCGTATTGTTTTTTGTATTGTTTATTCGTTTGTATATGGCTACAGATTTCGTTTTTTCCCGTATGATATTAGCATCATACAGCTGATTTTCGAATAAAAACAATACATATTATTATAATATTCCGCTGTGACGCATATGATAATGCGAAACAAAATCCATCGCACAACGCAAAAACACCGCCGCGTTCTTCCGATAAAAATTATCGAGAACAACCCATCGTTTTTCGTTGATTCAATTAAAAAAAAAAAATTATTTGCTATAGTTATCCATTATAATACATTGTTACGTGGGTTACGTGTTTCTGACCATTGTGCCTTCATTTTGTTTGCGTGACCTTGCAGGCGATCGTCTTTCGTGTAGGTACAGAAATGCGCGTTTTGCAATTTTCGATTTGCCGTTGATATACGCGTCTCGCACAAGGAATCGTCGTGATTTAAAGAGATATTACAGTGATTATAACATTTTCGTCACAATGATCCAAATAGCTGAAAAAAATTTAGATACTTACTACGGTTCGACGCAAATACATCTTCACAAATGAAACCAACTTACCAAATTCACCAATACAAATCTCAAAGGTTTTAATATTTTAAATTGAAAAAGTGCTCCCACTTATGCAAAGTAAACTTGTTTATGAATTCGAATATATTTTTATTTTTAAAATCGAAATACTGTAAATACCAACATTTTTGGTCAGGCGTATATCTACTAACCTAAAGGCTGTACCCTTTCCCCTCAATTGGGTATCAGGCAGTAAATTAGTGGAAAAGCCTTATCATTAAGATGGTCATTAAAAGATACACAAAATTGAAGAGAATTTATAAAACCGTCTCCAGCAGATTGAAGTGGTTAGAAAAACATGGTATTTAGATCAAAAATCCAGACATAACTGACCTATTTCAATTTTAAAAACGTATTTTGATTAATTAACAAGTTTACCATATAAGTTATATTGTAGACAATTTTAAATATTTCAAAATTTGTATGTGTTACGGATATAAATAGAAATACACCAACAAATATTTAAAACATTTTGAAAAGCTACTCCGACTCCCTTGAAACGTTTTTTTTATATATTATTAGCTATTTTCAATATTATAAACTGCGGAAAACTAAATGTTTCTCTTTTGTAACTTGCACCTAAATACGAATAAATAGCTTAAGATGCGTTTAAATATAGCGGGTATTAAGACGCTCGAATTTTCTTCTTTTGTGCCAGTCAGGTTCTATTGAAATTCCTTCCCTACACGCTATTCAGTTTTAGTACGTACCTATAGTATAGTCATTGGCAAGGTCTGTACAAATATCGATCCTCATACATCGTTCTACTGCAGTTTAAAGGCATTTTCTGATATTTTTCTTATATATATATATATATATAAGTTTTATGTATACTGTATTTATATATTACAGGATGATTCATAAAGCATGCTGACTCTATTTTTTTTGTGTTAGATTTTTCACAACATTTAAGGAATATCCTGTGGCGATATCAACTTTTATTTTTCAAATGAGAATCTATACTAAAAAAATCCATAAATAGATGGATTATTAGTTTAAATAAATGTCGATATTAAAATTGTTGATTTCCGCCAACTTGTTGACGAGATATTCTATTTTTAAGTTGTGGTAGGGGGAGAGTAGTGGAGTATAATTTGTGAGGCAGCATGGCGCGTGGCGTCTTATTAGTGTTCCGCTACTCTTCCCCTGCCTAAACTTAAAAATGGTATTCCGTAAAATATATCGTCAACGAGTTGACGGAAATCAAACATTTTCATATAAAAATGTATTTAAACTAATAATACATCTATTTATAGATTTTTTAGTATGGATTCTCGTTTGAAAAACAAAAGTTAGTATAGCCACAGGATACTCCTTAAATGTTGTGAAAATTTTAAGTATTCGAAAATATTAGCTTTAACTAAACTTAAAAATTACAAAAATTAGAATTTGGATTTATACAAAGTTTAACCAAAAAAATGGGGTGAACATGCTTAGTGAATCACCCTGTATATAATATTATTTATGCGAAACTGAATATTATTTCACGTTAAATCCGTTTTACAACTCAAGTATTGAAATTACTTACACACATGCAAAAATAGTGCGACTTTTCGATTCGGTATAGATTCGCAATCTCGTCTATGCAGCATATCGATCTATAAATATATACGGCACGGTAGTTAACCTAATTTTTGCAATTTATCTCGACGCAATAAACGTAATTAATTATCCGTCAGATGCACACACATTTATACAAATTAACTATAGGCGATTACTTGGAATCGTCATTTTAAAAAAACATTTGAATATTATTTAATACATACCTACTAACGATCGTTTTAACCCATTTAATAAAAATATTATATATATAATAAAGACCTAGTTGTTGCGTACCACACTTTTTTGGAAAGTATAATCCTCGAAAATCCGTTTTTGAAATAAATTGATTTCAGAAAATTTTTTTTTAAAATTCTAAAATAATCTTCGACACATATTCCGCACGCAAGTGTTGGATGAAAATCCATAATTAATACAATATAATATTCTACAATATATTATAACAATAAAGAATTTAAATTTTCGAATATTGTCGGACACATTACGGGAGTCCGACAACAAATAATTTTTGAAGCAGGATTTTTAATTTTCAGACCGGTTCATCTATAAACATCACACACATTTAATAGCCGTTAATTTCGGCCGATTAGTATGTCGTACGCACATTTGAAAGTGAAAAAAACACGTGACTAGGTGGTCTATAACGTAAAAGTTATTATTAATGTAATAATAAAAAAAAGCAAACTGACATACTTGTTGTTTGGATATTTGCACGATGGGTGGGCCACTGTTGTTAGTGAGAGGTTGGAATAAGGTAAAGGGGAAATTTAATGTATATCTATACGTAACGATTAATTAGCTAAAAATGATTCTGAGCTGAGTTCGATTGAAAGGATGTAATATTTACGAATTGAAAATAATACATTTCGTAAATTTTCCCGTTTTTCTGGTTTTTCCCATTTCCTATGAAAACCCTTAGGAAAATCAAAAAATAACCACCCCTGTCAAATTTCCTTTCAAAAAAAAATACTACACTTGAAAATCGGAGCAAGATTTCTAATATTAAAGTTGTTCACAGAAAAAAAAAATTAACATCATTATGAAACTAAGACATTCCTCACTCCGCTCAGAATCTAAAAAATCATGGTCGATCCAGGCTTCCGGCGAAGGAAATGGTGTTTAGTATATTATAGTATATATACAAGTAGTGATAATATTGCGTCTCTCTGTCATAAGGGCCCTCCATGCGTAGTGGCCACGCAATTGGCATATACAGAGTGATCCATTTATCATGAAGCAACGATTTTCTCGAATGACTTTAAGTGAATTCAATTTAGTTTTTTCATTCACTACTTTTAGAAGTTTGTGTCTTATAAATGTATGAAACAGTGAAAATTGCATTCAGCAAAATTGATTTTATGTTTTCAGTTTTAATATTAGTGCAAATTGATTTATTATCATAAACCTAAAGTAAGAACATTAATATATTTGTGTTTTTACGCTGGTATTTTGCGATATTTTATTTAACTTTGAAGTGAAACATATATATTTTTAAATTGTTATATTTCACAGATTCAGATTTCAGTAAAAATATAAATAAGAAAAATTATTATCATAGCTAACCGCCCAAAATTGCTGGACGCTAATTTACTATGTCGTATATTTGTAAAACGGTGGTAACAAATATATGTACAGCGTTCTCTTAAGTTTTATGTTAATGATATTTTCAAATTTATACCCCCACTTCTTATGCCTTATAAATTACTAAACACTTTTGATTTTTAATCAGTAACCTTCCCTCACTTTTAAACACATTAGTGACACACACAATAGTGAATATTTTTCAAAAAATGTTGATATCTATTCTATACACTAAAGCATAGAATTTATCGTTTATCAATTTTTCAATTTAAACCGGAATTGGGTTATAGGGAGGGAATGATAATTAACTTAATAACCATTATAGCTTACTAATTTATTCGATATGAATTGTAAACTTTTATAACTTAATTAAACGGTTGTAAATCCGGTATTATAGTGTTGTGCATATTTAGTGTATTAGTTTTAGCATTTTTCGAATCTTTATTTAAAAGATGAGTGTTGATGCGATTTGATAATCTAAAGTGCTGGTATATAACTCATTTAAGTTATAAGTAGTAGTGATAAAAATTTGAAAACAAAACGCAATTTACCAAAAAATCTTTGATCCGAAATAAATGAATCACTCTGTATTATAATATAACCTACAGCGGAGAACGAAATAATAATAATGAAAATTTAACGTCATTCGGTCGGGTCGCACATTAAACAGACGCAAGTATAATAATAATAATGCGCGTTTGTCCTGCAGGATATTATAATATAATAAACTATGCAACATCCCGCAACGTCGCAACTAATAATTGACGTACTATTTATTATATACAGAGTGGCGCGTTTATCAGGAACCGGAGATGATTCGTTTATATCTTTGTACATTCAAAAATTTGTCTACATTTGTTTCGGTCATTTTATATAATATTATATAGAATATCCTTTGTCCCTTGTATTTTACCGATTTTAAAATGTATAGTAACCTTGTATGTTTTTTAGATAAGTAAACTCGGTTTTGAAAAGAAGCGGTAGGTTTATATACGAATCCGGGTTACATAAAGAAAACACTTCTATGTATACTCATCCAGCCTAAATATTATTGTTATAACCCATAGCGTTAAACAATATCCTAACAATAACAATATCCATTTCTTATTTTTCTACTTTTACTAAATATTATGTAGAAGTCTTACCAACATGTTATTGTACATTAAAATATATTATAATATCTACTTCTAATTGTATACACAATTTTAATGTACATATATTTTTGCATATGTTGACATTATAGAGATTATATTTACTTGTTTTAAATAATCAAACACGTTTTGTTAATTTTGAATTGAATTTTGGACAAATATATGACGATCCTTTTTAAAAAATTATCATCAGCTAAGCAGTTTTTGTTGCGTCGAAACTCTTACAGCCATTATAAAATGAATATTTTTAAAAACATTAAAAAATCGTCAATTTAACTGAACAGTGCAATTACATAACAGTTTAAATTTAACTCCAGTGTTATTAATTATTTTTTGAGTTTTTATTGAGTCTTTATTTTTCGTAATAATATTTCTAAACAAATATAATAAACTTCTTTTTGTTGTTTATTTTATCGTGGTATACCACATGTTTTTATACAAATTTTCGCATATTTTTACCGTAGGTATGTTTAGCAATCGTTGAAGTGATGCAAATTTCAATATTTTTTAGTTCTACGACTTTAAAATTCATAGACGAATAAACGAAGTATATCTGATACGTTTTGTATTTGGTAAAAAATATCGATATTTTTAGAAAAATATTTTAGTTTCCGAAGTCTGGAAAAAAATCCATAAGTACTGGCCGCTATTAACAAAAGTTAATAGATAAATAATCGCGATGTGTTTATGTTGATGTTAAAATTTCGCAAACACAACAATATATTGCCTATTTGTCAATAACACACTTCGTTACATTTTCGTTTGGCTGATAATCCGCTGGTCCCCGTGATTGTAATGAATCGCCCTGTATACGTATATACCTACTGCATATACGTATAGTATTGTGGCCGGTCGGAATAATAAATATTTTAAAGTTCTCCGGCCCGTGACTCACCGACTACCACGACGACGCTGCTACGAGTGTGCGCATGCTCTCGGTCACTACCGATTGGCCCGCAGCCGCCAACCGAAATACAACCGAATTATTAAATGGTATTTTTTTTTTTACGATATTCTATTGTTTCCCGTAACCACAGTTAGTGATGTGCCTTGAGTAAATACCCGAAGGGTAGGTAAACGTTTTAAATATTTACCCAACCAAAATTTAGGTAAATATTTTTATTATGTTGCTATTCGGGCAAACAACTGTTTATTCTAACCGATATTTCGGAATATATTACAACAAATAGATAAAATATTGAATTAACAATTATAGGTAATACATCTAATTTGTTTAGTTGTAATGTTTACGTAGAAAAATATAGATCGATTATTATGTTTTAGTTTTAAACGATTCAACGAAGCTGTTTAATGCTTAATGAAAATGTCAAATGTCAAGTTAATGTATTAGGTATTCAATATATGGCTATACATTTATTAAAAAAAAAAACCCAACAAGTTTTCGTATTAAATTTATTACTGTGTACAAGTATTCCATTAAGAATAAATGTATCCAATATAATGTCCAATTCACCGGATAAACGTCCATTACTCAGTCATTATGATAACCGCGGATGTAATAATAACACATTTATTGCAACAATACAATCTAAACAATTTAAAAAAAAATTCAAATATTGCAGCACCCACTATAAGCTAAGTTTGTGCTGGGAGAACATTCCTTATCAATTGAACTAATAGATAATATACATTATACATAATATACTAATATATTAGTTATGAAATTAACTTATAATATAGGATAATATGATAACGATATTATAACATTATCAAATCTAAATGATAATATTATTATACGTGTACGTGCGTTGCTCCCGAGTCATATATATATTATATTTGTGTACGCACTTATAATACTATTATGCGCCTGTAATAATCGTCGAAAACGAGAGTTGAGTCATATTATTTTAAATTATATAACAGTGCACCTAATTTCTTTCGGTTTTTTTTTTTTTTGTTTTAATAAACATTATAGCTCGATAAATATATTGCATTTCCCCCCTCTACATCATTTAAAACGTATACCTATATTTTATTATAGTGTTATGTTCACATCTAATAAATAATGTAGGTACCTACTCGTTTCCCGTATATTTGCATTCGGTTATACTATTATATTTTACGCGAACACTATACATTATAAATAACTGTAAAAAACCTCTATAAAGTTGTTCTAGTCGCATGTAATTATTATTATTCTGCAAGTAGCGAAATTTCGAGTACTGCTGTAGGAGGGTGGGTATCAGTATTTGCTGCGGTAAAGTGTCTAGAAATCAACAATGTAGGAGAATATGGCGCAAGGGCGAATCCCGCATCTATTTACAGTCAGGGCACTAACTGTTGACACAATTCGGAAGCTATGTATTATGATTGTTCATTTTTTTTTCTCGAAATGTGTAGATTTTGACTGTATTTATTGCTTTAAAATCAAAAATTCAAAAAAATAAGTTTATGATTTCGATTTTGGTTGCAATGTCAGAACTGTAAAAAACCACACACGAATTTAAAAAATAAATTTGGACGATTTTTGACAAAATTACAAAAGTATGGACGCATTTCGGAAAAATAACAAATTTCAATGTCGAAAAAAAAGATTCGAATTTTTACTAAACTGTATTTCTTGTATTCCTGCCTTCATATATTCAATGAAATATATATTAATGTTTTTGGAATACGAAAAATAAAAGTTTAAAAAAATCATTTTGTCATTTTATATCTAGGTTAATTTGAATATCACCTAATGATTTTCAGTTTCAAATATATCGGATATCGCACAGGTCATATCGGCTCAGTCATACCATTGTGTTGTTTTCATTATAACTATAAGAATCAATATTTTGTGTACATTTAATACTTTGTATGCGCATTATTTAAAGTAATAGATAATTGAAATAAAGTTTTATGAGGTATTTGTCAATATTTTGAAATTGTTTACCAATATCCATTAGAGCGGCAGCCATTTTTCCATTTTTTTTGAAACCCGGGGTAAAAATGTAAAATCTGATTATTGATTAATGTATTGTCATTAAAAATATGAACGTATGCAAAATTTCAAGTTGCTTCAACCTTGGAAAGTGGGTCAAAACAGATCACAAGTTTTAAAAATTTCTTCACGAGTAAGCTAATACGAGTATAAGCATAGTAAAAAGCAACAATGATTTCTGATATAACGGGTTAGATATGTAAAGATCGACCTCAACCCGACTGTAGGAATTTAAAAGCCGGATATAAAAAAAAGGCCAATTCTTATTCAAAAACAAATAAATAGCTTGGTAATAATTATAGCTGCAATATAATGTAAATTTCAATATTAAATTACTGAATAAATACTTTTATAGTTGTTATATTTTTAAGCCAATGAAGGGGAAAAGTGATATTATAACCACCTTCCCTCTGCACTCACCACTGATCACGATTAATATATTATATTAAGTATATAGTATGCGTAATACAGTTTCAGTTTCACTATATTTTTTCTATAATTTAATATTATCATAATTATTTGATCAACTGCAGATGATGATATTGTAATAATATACGAAAAATATTAATGTGAATATTACAAATTCTTTCTTTTTTTTTTTTTAGTTGAAGTATATTATATTACGTCAGTGCAATTTAATAATTTTAAAATCTGTGTATTAGTAGATCTATATGAAATGATTTGATCACAATATTATATTACAATCGATCACTAGGTATACAATAACTGTCAAAGTATGAAAATCAGATATTAAAAACTTAGAATATTTCATTTCTTATATTATAATCGTCAGTTTAAAATTTAAATATGATTTATATTTATGCAAATGCAATTTGTAAGTTATATTTTAACGTAATCACCCAGAACGAATTAATATTAAGTACTTATTATATTGATGAGCTTGGCGAGAATTATCGATTTTACTGATTTTTTTTTTTTTGTCGTGTAGTGATGTGGTACACGGTTTTCGGCATAAAATTGTCGTACTGGTAAAAATTTCGAGGTTTGAAATTTCTACAAAATTCATAAAATCACGATATTAATTTGTAAATTATTTTGTGTAGGTAGTGAACATTCGACAAAAAGAATGGACAATTTAAATTTAACGTGATACAATGCGATTTAATTCTGGATTTAACCGTGGGTCTCGTAAGCCTGGAAATTAACCAGAGCGAATAATATTATTTTCCAGTCAATATTACAATATTCGGATCGATTGTATAAGTACCTATATATACGTATAATTTATACAAAATAAAATTGTATGTATACGCGATGTTGAAGTGAATAAACCAAAAAAAATAACAATACGCTTGACATAATATTATATACATTGGCGGGTATAGTTTTAATGCCGTCATCATCGGTCGATTCATTGATAAGAATTATTGTAATCATTGGTTAATGCACTTTTGCACGCGTATCCGGGTATCGATGACCGTCCGGGGAGGCGGTGACGTAGTCATTAAACTATTGTCTATACATACAGTGTGTGCATTACCATCGTGTGTATAGTTTTAAGATCGGTGGCGCCATAAAGTGCGTGTCACGAGTCACGACCACCACTGCTGCTGCCGCTTCGACCGATACGAGTATTATTATATTATTATTATTTTCGTGTTTTCTGGTATATAATAGTCGGGGGCTTAAAAATACACTCGTTACTCAGCACGACGACCATCATCACGTAGTGATGCGTTTGGTATATTTATGATAATATTATAATAATATATATATATATATATGGCTTGTTCATTTTTCGTTTTAAACGATGATTTCATATAACATATACAAATTGTCGTCTTCCGGTCTTCGTTGTTATATTGTTATCCCGATGTGAATCGCTCGCTTGATTGCAGATTTTATTTTCCGCGGTGACAACGATATTATGATGCGGCACAGCCACTGTAAATGGGTGAAGTGCGTTACGTAGAATTCGTAAAAATATAGAACAAATATTGAGGAGGGAGGGGTTATAACACACCTATTCCTTCTGGTTATATATAACATTATATTATTTTGTTAATAAAAAAAAAAAAAAAAAATGAAAAATGTTTATGTTGTAAATACAAACAAAACACAACCTATATTCGTCCATTATATAAGTGCGAGCCGTTTAAATTTATATTTAGTATTATTACTGATTCAAAAGCCTTACCTTGGAATAATTACCTACGAAATTTTCGTTTTGTTTTCGGTTTTTGACAATTCTATTTAAACGTTGTTATAGTTCTTGATCACCGTGGGCTGGATTCCAATAACCATTTTTAATGCAAAAATGCTAAAAAAAATAAAAGTATTGATTGAGATAAGTATATCTTTTACACTAATCAAAGTACATAAAAACAAATTGTACTTTGTTTTAAAATCCGGGCCCTTAGTGGCTAGCAGCAGTGTGGCGTATCATGAATAACATTATGTAGACATTTAAAACTCGTCGCAGAAACCGTGTAAAAACGGATATCGTCGTTTGCTGTTTCGCTGAATATTCGAGACTTGTGTGGTTTCTGTCGTCATGGCACTTCTTGTATCCGTCCGCATAATATATTGTAATAATATAATATTGTAATATAAACGATATATATGTCGTGTTTTAATAAAAATATCTTCGACGTCAAATAAATGTCAATTTTAACTATTATTGGACCTTCATCCACGTATCTGTGGATTATTGTACATAATATTATACTATAACGATAATATGTGCCTCGTCACAATAAATATATAATGATTAAAGCATGATTTAAGTATGATTAAATGTTTTAACAGTTAGGCATGTCGGTCAAATAACACGATTTAGTGTAGGAAAAGGTCTTATCTGTGAACTTGGAAAAATATAAATATATTCATATTTGTTCAAGCATTGATTTTATAAGTTATAGGAGCGCGTACCTACCATGAATCGAGAAATTATTAAATAATATAAACATATCAAAGTTTTTTTAAACTGCCTTAAAATGATTTTAGACACGATATAGTAGCCCTCTGAAAATCATATTATTATAATCCACCTCCCCTTAGACGGATTTTTGTAATGACAATTTATATTAACAAATTGAACAAGACACGATTTTTCTTCTTCTCACTAAAAGCTGTGCCTTGTCGCTGCAAATCTAGATCTCCACTCTTCTCTCTCTTAGAAGAGAATAGAAGTTCATAGAATCTCTTCATATCGGCATACCACGTTCAATCAGTTCGTCTCATGATTTTTTTGATAAACGTCTTCCTGAGTTTCCCTCTTCCTATAGAGGAAGAGGGAAACTCGTTCTTCGTTCTTTAAATATGCTTACTTGGCAGAAACGAATTGTTCCTACTTGACATAATTTTCTCCTACTCGGTTTAATACATCTAAATTCCTTCTCATATCTGTACAATTAAACATGATAATTTTTCTCCAGATCCACATTTCCATTGCCTCTAATTTTTTCTTGTCGTGTTCGGTGATGGTTCAAATTTCTCAACCATGAAACACTACATTACTCCATACATAGTATTTGGCAAAGTTTTTTTATTTAAGTAATTATTTTTTTTGGTATCGCTGTCTAATTTTTACCTATATCTACTACCGCTAAAGTTAATGAACTCTCTAAATTGATTACTACGTGGATAACAATCCTTAATAATAATATTACCTACCCTAATAAATAATATCTCTGAAAAGCACTTGATTTCAATATTTCAATTTTCTTGTTTAATATTGTCCACAATTTATAAACATTCTTTAATGTCTCTCCTAATATATTAAATTATCATTCCCCAATGTTTCTTTTGGATATATTTTCCATATAAATATATATATATACTTTTTGGTCGAATAAATGCTTGTTTATATTTTAACCGTACGAGGTTATGTGGTTGTATAAGTATATACACGTTAGGTATTCAACATTTTTATGTCGGTTGGACTCCTGCGGATAAAAAAAACGGTCCGTTTTTCTATATATACCTATAACCCCCACCCCTATAGTAGGTACCTATATTTGATGATTTATGGAAATTATTCTCTATGTAGTGAGTATACACCCATATTATATACGAATAACGTCGAACAAATATGCTTATATTTTTTTAACGCGATAACAAAAAAAAAACACGCTCTGTACTACCATTGGCCGTTTCCGGTAAACGTGATAAGCACCTGCAGGACCTCGAGCTGTTATTGTAACGCCAGGACATTGTTTAGTGAATAACCACTGTATCGAATACCCCTACTTTAAACAAAATCTCCATGAGCAGAAAAATTAAACCTTCCCCCCAAACTTTTAGTTTCCCTCGATTATTCCTCCACCATTACTAAGAGTATTCCTTACATAAAATTTAACATTTTATTAAAAAATCGACTAATTATCTACATAATACACAAAATAGTACGCTATATAGTACTGAGTGTCCAATGGCCTTTACTGTGTATCCATTTAAACAAAGAAAATCTACTTAAAAATTGTCCTACCCAACGCGCATAATATTAAAAAAATACAATACGGACGTACCCGATTTATCGAAATAAATAGACGAGGGTAAAAACCGTCGTGAAAATATTATGGTAGCAGTGACAACAACGACCACGCAAGTAACGTATTGACAAAACTGTGCCCCGTGCCGCTGCTATCCCGTCGCACGTCAATTTATGACCGTGTCTACAAGGTGTTGTATTGCTTCTCTCGTGTGCGTGTGTGCGCATGTCTGTGTGTATGTGTGATATCACCAGAACACCAGACAGACAAGACGGGGAGAAAGAAAAATAAAAACGACGACCGCAAATGGAAATTGTTTATTATTATTATTTTTTTTTTTTACAATAAAGTGTCGTGTTTCTTGGCGTTTTGCTATACAATATTTATGTATTTATTTATTTATTTATTGTTATCTCTCCGTAATAGAATACTTGCGCATGTATGTGTCGTGGCCACGACCAAGGAGTTCGATACGCGTGAAGGTCGCCGTCCGTCTGTCATTTACGAAATTAATAATAATAAATATCGAGACATAATAATATTATGATCCGTTTACGACGACGCACTGTGGTCGAAAAGCCAATTCTACCTGAAAAAAGACTTTAAGTTAAGTTAAAAATAAAATACTTAGTACCGGCCATTGATTAATAAGATATAAAAGACTGGAAACAAGATCACTATTAATGGAACTAAAAATTTATAACAATACTTAGTATTCCTACCTAATAATGATTTGGACGCCATCTATGAGCTACTCACAGTCAAATAAATATTATTACACTCATAATATGTATTATGTATAAGCTTATAATTTTATATTCGATAACAATAACAATTTGTATTATACTTTTCTATAGTAGAAATAAATAAGTTGTGATAATAAATACGATTTATTCGATATTTTAATTGTAAAGCTATTTATGAAAGTATAAAATATCATGATTTAAATATGTTCGTATATAGACAATTTAAAACAATTTGAGTATAAAAAAAAAAAAAAAACCGACGTACAAACGCAGATAATGTACTTTAGGTTTTAATAATATATCAACACACTTTAATGCGTTAAAACTAAAATCAGATAATTGTTACTGCTGAGTTCAAAATGTCTATGTCTTTGTGGTTTTGTAAGATTTAAAAGACGATAACAAATGCGTGGTATTATTTAATAACGTACAACGATCACTTATCGACTTGTGATTCTAAAACGATACTCCGACGGCGGTGGCGTAGAGCTCGCGGAAACTTAACATTTCATCGTCGGGAAACTGCGCTTCGTCTTTCCGGAAGACCGACTCGACCTTGGCGATTAATTTCCCGTTAAACGCGCAATGCAATCAAACGTATTACCTATGTACAATTATATTATATGATGTGTGCCCGTTATTTGTAACCGATCGCGCGGAAGGATTTCTCTTCTCGGTCATATTCTATATAGGTATATAACATACAAGGTCGACGTCAATCGTTTAAAAAATCGAGCACATAAACTTTTTATATCTACATTTTCGTTTGCACCACGTATACGAATTAAGCCCCAGTTCGCGAGTTTCCGATTATCCGTATTGTTTTAACAGCTGTGTTTTTGTGCGGTCCAGCTGCGTGAAATACCCGAACAGTTTTTGTTTGTAGTTCCTTTGAAAAAGAAATTTGTTCCGTTTCTCATTCCTCAAATTTAGAATTTGTCTAGAACCTTTCTCGTTCAAAAAATAAAAATTATTATTATATAAAAAAAAACCGTATGTACTTCAGACTTCGGGTAAGCTACTTTTGTAGGTAAAACGTATGTAAGGTAAAAGTTGTAAAGTAGTTTAGAATTTAGTTTATGTACTGTAAGCAACAATAAGTCAATAAAATCAAAAATTGATTCCGAGCAGAGTTCAATAAACTGTTAATTGGTATAGGTCTTGTTTTTACCACTTTGTAGACCAGATAATCTAGAAATCAACAAAAATATGTAAAATGTATTATATATGAAGATTTTAAAGCTTTCCAATCACTTTGTTCGTTAATGTCGGAAATAAATTGAAAATCACTCTCGATTTGTTTTTCAAAATCACGTCGGGTGAAGGTCATAAACTCACAAAGTATTTTCACTTTTTCCATAGATGTTTGCTTTTCTGTTACCAGGGGGAGGAGTCATCGGTCGAGGCCTGACAAACGTCCAGGTTTTATGACTTAACGATCTCCCTTGACGGTTTGTACAAATGATGGTCGTTGGTTGAATCCAGTTTTTGAAAATCCGAAAGTTGGCGATCCAAGAATTTTAATGTGAATATTACTCTGGGAAACGATACAACTATGATAATCGCAGTCTTTCCGCGAACATAATTAAATATTCTATGTTATTTATTGAACGAAAAACAGTTTAGCGCGTCAAATATTTAAATTTTTAGATGCGATGTTTAGTTCTAGCTTCTCGGTATAATGGTCCTGCAAAACAGCATTATAAAAATGGATTATTATTCGCCGACGACGAATAATAATTTTCATCTTTCGTTTTGCTGTTCGACGGTTTAGAACTCATCGCTTTAACGGCCGTAGATAAAGACTCCCGCATAAATAAATAAATGATAATATTTCTCAGTTTCGCCGAGAAAAATTGTCACTGTGACCGCTATCTTTTTTCTTCGCTATTTTACCCATTATAATAATATTACATTGAGATACAGACGAATTCGCCCTAATCGCTGTAGCTGCGTCTTCGCTTCGTTCAGAATTTCGGTTGACATTTTAAGTTGTATTTAAATATTCGCTTTCTCTCTTTTTTTTTCTTTCTCGCTCCCCAAAAGTGATAGTTTTTGGCAAATTTTAACAGTCTGACGTCTTAACGTTGGCAACGAAATTTCAGGGTTAAGACTTAATGCACACAACGATACAGATTCAAGTATAGGTACACACGTTTTTAATCTCATTAAATAACGCATGAAAAACATTTTTCTACATTATGTTATTATTATGACAAATTGATAAGTATAACGATTTCATTGCCACCGGCGTACTATTTTTACCATTTTAACAGTTCAAAAAATCGCAGGACTGGACGTTGCGTCTATCGGCACTCGATTTTGGCACTTTGGCAAGTCTGTCGGTTGGCATATTATGATAAAAAAAAAAAAAATCGCGTCTAAACAATCGGTGAAACGAAAATAATTTACCACCGACGAGTTGTTTATACTGCAGAGAAAATAATAATACGCATTCTAACTCGAATAATATAATTGTCGATAAACTGTAATAAAGCCCTAACATACAGTAAAATGTCGTAAAATGAATATAATAAAACAGAATTTGTTAAAAATATAATTTTCTACAAATTCAATAGCCCTTACAACTATTACCAATAGTAAATGAAGTAGTCAACGAACTTGTATAATTATACAATAGATACAGGTATTATTATAATTTTTATAAGTATATATAAAAACAATGTGTCATGCCGTGTTATCCGAATGCTAATGACTCAATATCCATTTTATATTTCAATCTGGTTTGGTTTTGTGGTATCAGAACGACACAAATGAGTGAAAAATTTAATTTTTAACTCTCAATCACTAAAAAAAAAAACTTTTTATTTTTTCAAAATAGCCAATTTGTAAAATATATTATTCTAAACATTTTAATGTATTATACATTCATATGATCAACAGTTTCTTTGTAATAGTCGTTTTAATATCTAAGTGTGAAAAACAAGACTATACCATATTATGCGATCACCATAGTCATAATACAAGGTAATCGGGGTAAATTAAAACGGCTATTACTAAGAATTAACTATTGATCGGATATGAATGTATGATTCATTCAAATTTTTAGAATTATAATTTTACAAAATAGTTATTTTTAAAACTTTACAACTCTATTGAAAAAAAAAAATGATTATTGACAGAATTATTAACATTCGGTTAATATTGTAGGATTGGTTAGGATACCCTATAGTTCAATTTTCAATAGTCTGCTCGATATTTCGTAACAACTTTTCGACCGAAACATCGTGTTCCACCCAGTGGCGCATTTATGGGAAGCGATAGGAGGTATTTCTCGGGTTCAATCCTTTTAAAATAGAAATCAATATTAGAAATTCGATTTAACGTGTCTCCGTGTTTCCGCCCTTATCCGTATCATAGTTAATCGTTGATTCCAGGTAATTTATATTTTAAAAAGGGTACTTTTTTATCTGCAACAGCCAAATTAAATAAGAAGATTTTTTTTTCGTCTGTTTCGCTGAGGTAACCCATAAATTAAACAAAAAATTCAACTTTCGTTCCAAAAATACCAAAATCCCCGTGTCTGTTGCTCGTTAGTGATCGAATTTAATGATAAATAGTAGACATTGACTTTCCTCTTGTTTTGAATGTTAAGTGTGCAAAGTTTAACCAATATCAAGATAATTTAATATAATTTAATCATGATCGGAATAAAACTGTAGTTTCACAAACCTACAAATAAACAAACATAAATAAATAAATAAATAAGCAATCTTATATAAGATGATTATTTTTATGTACAATGGTGGATATTTCGAATTTTTTACTCACATTTCCTATCCGACGACGTCCGCGGTATACTAAATCTAAAAAATCGTTCCTAATAGTCAGAAAATAATAATGTTTTCTTTATAGTTATTTTGTACGAAAGAAAAACTTAAATTGCGCGACTATTTTCGGATTGCCAAACCGCGTCTGGTCAACAGCACCAAGGTCGAGTTCTCGTTTAATGTACCATAGGGACGACGGGATTAACGAACTGCGTCATGATAATCTCGGTAAGACGTGGCGGAGGACAAAACCTTAAGAAAAAAAAAACAAACGTGTTCATCTGCGTATACAGCGAAATTATAGGTATTGTTATTATTATAGGTCACGTATTTTAGCTCGAGATTTATTCAATAAGCAAAGAGACTTCCGATCATACACACCACGAGTATATCCCATTTATGGTCGTTTAGTCGACTGCTATATTCGTATTTACCGAACCGGTCGTGTGTTTTGTCGTGATTACGCCACTAAAAATGACGTGTCCACAAATATGTGCACTAATGGTCTTGTTATTATAATAATATTATCGTCAAATGCATTTTGAGATAATAATAATATGTGTGGGTTTCAATCGAAAGTGTTTACCGTCGCGTTGTCGTTGTCGTCTCGTGATAATCTAACCAAAATATCAATATTATCATTATCATAATAATATGCAACCCATGCAATTTTCGCGAGTCTATAGGTCGAAATATCTTAGATTTGTATAATTTTATAAACTATTAAGGAGTATAAAATTAATTTGAAAAAAAAAAAGTATAATGTTTGCATTTGTACGTTTGAGACATTTTTACATTCGATTTGGTCCGCAAAAGAAAAAAGTACCTATATAATGTATAACACCTAACCTAACACTACAGTATATTTTAGGCACATATAATACACGGTGAATCTTAAATTGTAATATTCTTATTTGTCACATGGTTTACCGAATAGTTTATTATTAATTTATTTTATTTATCTATGCGACAATGGCGATTTTTGTTTCGGGTAATTAAGTATATGGAACACTAAAGTATACGCGTTTGTGTGCACAATAACGTTTTACTGAAATCCTAGTATATCAAATTTAGTTTTGTTATATTTTCGTGCAGATGAGTGAACATCTGCACGAAAGACGTTTTAGAATAGGTCGAATCGATTATGATAATATTATTGTTATTATTATTATATATATAATATTATTATTTTGTTGCTGTGCTATTCGCCGCTGCACAATTACACCGGTAGTTTGTATTATTATTTTAAAGCGTAGTTTCCTCGTTTATTTTATTTTTCCGTCGACTGAGCTGTTCATTTTGAGGCGTTTTTACGAATTAAAATATATTACAATACTACGTAGGTATTATATGAATAATAATAAAAAGAAAGAAAAAAACTATTAGCTGATTTTCACTGTACATCCGCCCCAGTGGTTTTCGCCACAATCATTAATCGTTATTATATTTTATTAATTTAAGCCGAACCCGAAAAATAGCAAACGAACTACGTTTTTTTATAGAACGATTTCGTTGCAACTTTACAAGTACACTATAACAAGTCGTCATTATTATTTTTTCTACAGTGCACGTGTGGTTGCGGTACTATGTGCAGAATTTGATTTCATAATAAATTTCAATGTTGTATACAGTATGTCCCATCTATTATGCACCACTAAATATCTCAGCCCGGTGACCTTAGATTGAAATAGGGTTTTTCAGGAGGTTATGAGAAGTATACCCAAACACATATTTTGAGATGTTTTTCAGTTTTTTTATTCTTACGTACGTTCAAACATAATTAAAATTACTTTTTTTTTAATTGCAACCTCTAATTTTATCACCAGATATGCATAGATTATTTTTTTCCAAGTTATTTCGATCCATTTACCATTGTCCTAAACCTGAAATTGACTGCATTACAGCTTTTTTAAATTTGAAACATTTTATAAGATAAAAAATTAAACACAAATAAAAACAATATATTACAAAATAGTTAAAATGTTTTAATTAATGAATAAATCACTCAATATGAAGTGTGTTATTTTAAATTTTAAAAAGCTGTAACTCAGTCAATTTTAGGATTATGACCATGGAACAAAATGATTTAGAAAAAAATAATCTATCCATATCAAATGACAAAAATAAGTGTTGCTGTTTAAAAAAAGAAATTTTAATTGAATATGCTAGTACTGTAAGGGTTAAAAACTGAAGATTATTTCAAAGCGTGTATTTCGATACTCCCCATCGTCTACCAAAAACCCCATTTCAATCTAAGGTTATAGGGCTGAGATATTTAATGATACATAAAATACGAAACACACTGTATAGTAAAAAACTAATGCAGTTCTTCTATAGAAATGCATTAGTTTTTTTTTATAATATTGACGCGTTATTAAGTTAATCGCGGTTTTAAGGTCATATACAATCGGAGTTCCTGTTGGTGCCATCCCTCGGTGTGGGTATAGTTAATGATAATAATATTATGAACTACGATTCTCGGTATACAAGAATCGAAGAGTAGCTAATTCTCGTTGTACAGTTTTCACGGTCATTGTTTTAAAAATCGTATCCAATTTTCTTAAAATCCGTTTCTTTAGGCTTATATGCACGAAAAAATTATCGAAAATCTAGTTGTTACACGAGATTTCACACGAAACGCATTTATCGTTATTTATATAATGCCGATTAATTAGTATATATTAAATAAATGGCAATTGAAATTATTACATTATCATGGTGCAACATTATCGATCTATCGTTAGTATAAATAATAATAAAATTTCCAGCATAAAATGTCTAGTGGTTGAAATGTTTAAACAGGTAAAATTAGTAAAGTTAGTTGGTAATATTAAATCCAACACATATACCTATTGTCCAGAATTTAATATATTGTCACTAAAATAGCTATTTAGATATATGACAGTTTTTTTCTTATAATAATTTGGAAATTAAGTGCTTGTCCGTTTAACTCTGGACTTTTAACCTGCAACCGGTACACTATCGTAGCACAATTAAATTGTGTTTATTCCTCTGTGCGATAAAGTCATTATAATGTAATATATAGATTTATAGAACTGTGTTTTCTATTTTTTTATTAAGTAATTTTTTTCTATAGGTGGAACAACGAGATGTGCCCGGAATCGACTGCGCGTACTTGGCTATGGACACGGAAGAAGGCGTGGAAGTGGTGTGGAACGAGGTGCAGTTCTCGGAGCGCAAGAACTACAAAGCCCAAGAAGACAAGATCCGGCAGGTGTTCGAGAGTCTCACGCAGCTCCAGCACCCCAACATCGTCAAGTTCCATCGGTACTGGACGGACACGCACAACGATAAACCACGTGTAATAAATTACTGCAATTATTGGTCAAACCCCCCCCCCTTCTCCCTTAATATCTTTATTTTATAAAGTGAGGTTTACAACTCGTCACGTGTGAAATTTAATTCGTTGGATTATAGCTTAAATGTGATGTAATAATTATAGCTTTTTGTGATGATAATTTTAAATAACTGATAAGGTGTATCCTACGCTAATCGTACGGTAAACGGTATGAATAAGACGACCATGAGTTGAACATATTCTACTCCCGGTATAACGTCTTGGTAAACACGATCAAAATGTATCTACCATAATAATAATATGAGTTAATCAGAAAATAATAGGTATTTCACACGACACGAAACTGTATGACGAGTTTAAAACCCCCTTTAACCCCAATGATCTTAATTGTTTTGTGATGACATATTGCCAACTGATTCAGACGATTTAGTGGTGGCAGCGATGACACCATAAAATAATAAAGACGCACGATTTTCAATTTTTGTATAATGGAACTATCAGAGATATGTTATGAAATATCATTATACGAAAAATATTAATGGTAAACAAATGAAAGCACCATCACCGAAACAATCTATTCAACACGGTGACTAGTGATAAGGTCATCTACAGAAATATCGTTCGGGATTTCTGATTTTAAAAGGAACAACACCGATGACACCGTTAATGTTATTGCATTTGAATTTAGGAACATACGGTATATAATATGTCAAAAGGCGGGTTCGCGCGTTCGCCCAATCTCGGCCTAATATAAGCGCAACGTAGATTGTTTGTTTTATATTATACCAATCCTTGTCGATCTGGCCAAGTTGTGGCGTTCTTAAGAATTTTATTGGAAGGGAAGATATATACATTGTTTGCAAAGTGACCCACAGGCGCTACGTCCTCACACCCTCACAATAAAAATAGAATATACGTTAAATTTCAATACATATAATTATAGCTATAATTTATATTTAAACGATTTTTATTTGTAATGCAAAATACGACACATTTCTTAATTTTTAAGTCAAGGCATCAAAAACTTCTTTGAAATCAATATTTACTTCTCTATTGAGTGCTAACAATTATAATCCATTGAAACGGTCCTATACATTTCATAAAATTAAGACAAACAATCCTAACGTAACCTTTTTCAGTCATTGAATTCAATAGATTTTAATATCAATTAGACGTAAAATTTATATTATGTATAAACCGTATATTACCGTGGATATTGATTATATTTAATCAATACTACCCAGTACCTACTACCGCAGAATAGATGGCATTTCATCTATTACCAATTGCCTGCTGATATTAATTATTATATATTACGTATACCTATTATATTTATAATATTACGATAAAATAACTTGTTATATAGAAAATGATTACGAGTCATCAATTATTACAACTAAATATTAATTATGCATATCACTATAATACTTACCTAATAACATTTTTTTAAAAAATAATGAAACAATACCTATTATTGGGCGCAAAAAAAATCTGCATGCGAAGAAATATCTCCCATATTCTCCCATCTCGTGATCGCCTATGTTACCAAGTCACGTGCTTCAGGAACCCGCCATTTGATACGTCTATACACTGTCCTTGATTGTACGATCTTGAGACCGAACATGGCTGTGTTCGCGTGTTCTTATACTGTAGTAGTTGGATATCCAATGTTCTTTTATCTACGTATACTTTTTAATTTTATCTTATCTAGATAAATATAAAATATAATCGTTAAACTATTCAATTTATATTAATATATTGTTCATAATTAATTATAATACGTTTTTATTTAAATTAATTATTTATATTATTATAATATATAATATTATTAAAATTTATCGCGTTATAGTATAGTTTAGTCTCCAATTTCGTGAAATACACTATAATTATTAAGTTACATTGACTGCAAAACATTTGTTTGTATATAGACGTGTACCGAATCTGGCATTTACATTTACTACTTATATTATTTGCACTTTAGTATACTATTATACTGCATTTGATTTTATGATACAAGTTATGAACAAAATTATATTTTTTGCTAATTTGTCGTTGTCTATTTGTCTAGATATTGTTGAAAATGTTAAAATATAATACGATCTTTCATAATTATTCTATAGCAGTATTATCTCTGATAGATATTCAGATTGATAGATATAGATATTTTTAAATTGATGTTTATACAACAATGTAAGTTGTATCGTAACTTTATAATATTATAGCTATCTATATTATTATTATAATAGCTATAGTCCGCGACCGACTGATTGTACGCCATATTATTTTTGTCCCAACAGGTGATATTTATCACGGAGTACATGTCTTCTGGCTCGTTGAAACAGTTCCTAAAACGTACCAAGCGTAACGTGAAGAAAATTTCTCTGACCGCGTGGAAACGATGGTGCACGCAAATCCTATCCGCTCTAAGGTATGTGCAAGAGCGCTAGACGCTCCGATCCGGTTGGTATTAGGATCGTAAATATTTCAAATATTGTTGTTTTTTTTTTGTTATGAACAATTTACCAGTATAATTTGCCGCTTTTTCGGCGCCATACTATTACATATATATATATATATATAATATATAATATGTATATTATACATATGCCGCGGACGTATTTGTAATAATAATATTATAAAAGTTATGTGTATATAATATAATCGATAAAATTGTGAGTATAATATAATAATAATAATATCAATAATAATGATAATTATAATATTATGATGGTAACCTGGTATATAATAATGTTGTAAATGTGTCGCGCAAATTATGGTGCTAGTGGATTTGGATCTGTATCGTCGTCGCCAATGTTTTACAATGTATATAATACATACGTATACTCATATTATAATACTTTTTGGATACGAGATGTGGAAAATGATGACGATGATGACGATTTATACCTATGTATTTGTATACGCACACCAACTCCAGGACTCCAGCACCGCACGCACGCTCCACATTATTATGTGTATAATTGTATTTTTCAGACGGATTAAAAATCGAAAAAAAAAACTGTATTATTGATAAGGAAACGAGCACTTCCTGATGTGTCACCCCGCACGCGCTCAATACTCTCTTCTAATTTCTGTACTCCTGTCGAAAATTTGTTTTGTCTAACCACCGCGACGTCGTCGTCGTGGTCGTGGTCGTACGTGGGCCGAACACCAAAATACGTTTGTTGACGACTACTACCCATCGACTATCAACTATAATTTACTTCCGCCACCGTAGTAATTAATATAGTACACCGTCTCGGCGACTATATTATAAATCCGTCAATACACATGTATAATTGTGTATAAATTATATCACCCACGTATGCGTATTTGTCCGTATGCCGTACGTGTCGTCAAAATCGTTTTGTGATCTGCTGAAAACATAATTCGGCGTGCAATATAATATATTATATAGTATATTTGTATTGTAATAATAATTCGCACTATCGGAACATTAATATTATAGTGTTGCAACTTGAAAAATTTCCGGGTAGACCATACAATTTTTAAAAATGTAATTGTCTGTTATGAGCAAATTTACTTTTTTTGAGCAAGTACACTTATTAGTGCACTACACTAATGCTGGGTTGCATAAACCGTTTAATGAACCATAATGTTTTTAACGATTCATCAAACATTCAGTAAATTGAATGGTCCCTTAAGTTAACTCTAACAACACATAATTTCTTGTTCAGTATCCAATTAATACTTATCAGGAAGTTAAGTCAGGTTAAGTTTTAATGTAAGTATTTTAAACTTCCTTGGTATCGCCTGCTTTATTCCCAATGACGCTTGACGAATAGATAATATATATTGGAAAGTAACCTTAACTTTCGTGAGAACCTACTGTTGTTTAGGTCTAAATCAGTGCCTGCCGAAGGCCTATCAACCTATCAGGCCTATACCGTCGCCAATCATTTCGACCTTCCCAAGCACATTATATTTTGATCCTTAAATCATCCCCTTTTCCTTTATCTTTTTATGCAATCTAGTATTACACATTTAAATTAATTATATTGCAATAGCGTATTATATCGAGATTCTGCACAGGCACTATTGCATTTTTGCAACAACCTATATATTATTTATCTTATAACAATTATAATTGACATTTGTACGAAATAGTCATTTTTTGAGTTACAAGACTAATGTTCTGATGGTGCAAATTATTTTTATTTCAATTTGTTCATATATATATTTTTTTTTTTTTATATGTATCGTGCATTCGTGCACGTGTGCGTGTTTACGAGTACCTACGTATAATGTATAAATACGCGTGCGTGTTTCGAGTACGTAATGTTTACTATTTATTATACTTACATGATTATCATTAATAATTGCGCCTAAATAACGAACAGAAATTTAGTCACCCCGAGTCGGTGAAATACTATTCTTCTCAATCGTCCTGTTTTGTAGGTACTCCGGTGTGATGGAAACCGAGATGACCGCTTAACGACGGTCGCCGATAGCTGTTAGTTTTTTTGTTTTGTTTAATTTTTTTGTCCATAGAATAACGAAGCGAAAAACACCAAAAAAAAAATAATAATAATGCCATTTGGCCGTGGCGGCGTAATAGCTGAAAAAGCATATAAAAAAAAAAAAAACAAAAGTTGTGGTTTGTTTTTCAGTTACTTGCATTCATGTTCACCGCCCATCATCCATGGGAATCTGACCTGTGACACGATATTTATCCAACACAATGGACTCGTGAAAATAGGATCAGGTAAAGTACCGCAACGAGCGAAACATGCCATGTAAGGGAAAATAATATACCAAAAAAAAAGAATATATAACAGATAAAATTTTTAAAAAAAATGAATAGTCTAACGTACATAATATTATTATTATAATATACCGTACTATATATACACAATTATTATGGAAGGTGATGATAATTGTTACAATATTAAGCATGGTTGAAAAAAAACATATTACACACATACACACACACGTACTTAAATATACTTGCAGTTTATATATATATATATATATATACATATATATATATATATATATTTAGTGCTGAAGTCCCGAAACCGGTGCGTACCGTACTTTGTCGCTGGCCGACGGTCCTAGGCAATGACGATGCTAGGGACTGTCCCAAATTTCTGTGTAGGATTGTAAACGCGTTCGCGGTTTTCATATTGTTTCGGCGTTGAGGACCGCGTGGGTTGTCCAGGATCGGGCCGGTCGGGTCAAACGTACGTGCGGTCGGTACGGGGGCCAAAGCACGACCACGATTGCGACGGTACTAATAGTTTTTTTTTCCTTAAAAAAAAAAATAAACATATAGTTGCTCCAGACACCATTCACGTACACATCAAGACTTGCCGGGAAAACATGAAAAACATGCATTTTATCGCGCCCGAATGTGGAAGTAAGTATATATCTATCACCTAGGTAATAACATAGTATCAAATTTCCCTATAAATATTTGGTAAGAAAAGCTTGTGGCAATATCTGGCATTGTTTTTTTTTCTTTTATAATTGTGTTTTACATAAATTTGTTTCCATCTATTTTCCGATGTAAATGACATTTACATGTACGTATATTGTAATAAATAGTATACTGAAAATTAAAATATTTTAAGTTACTGTGAAATAATTTTTGTTTGAGAAATAAATGCATTATATAATTATATAACTTACCTAAGTCATTTATATTTAGGTCATTTAGAAATTTAGTTTTAACCATTTAGTAGTTTTCAACATTTAATTTACTTTTATTAAAAACTATACAACATTGACTTAAGCCTTTCTTCCCTGAGACAAAAAAAAAAAATCATAATATAAATTGTTTTATATTATCGTTAGTTATAAATATTATTAATTTGGCATAACTCTGACTAAACAAATTTTGTGGTAAAAGACGGACGAAGTCCCGTGGCGGATCCAGGAATATTATAAATGCATATTTAATTTAATAATAAACAAATGTTTAAAAAAACCAATTCAAATTTATTAAATAAAACTAATAGCGGGTGTATACGACATCTGGCCCATTGTCCAGAGTAGCCAGATACCCCCTCCTACCCGTAAACATGCCTATCAGTGGCGTATCTAGACATTTATATTGGGAAAAGAATGTAGTAAAATAATAAACAGGATTTGTAAACAAATCGTAGAATCTTGTTGTTTTGTGCCAAACCCAGCAATAGGAATTAATAAGTCTGATCCAAAAAAGCCAATTTTCTTTCTATTAATCAAGTTCTTTTCCTTGTAAGTGCTTGGATAAACATTCAAAGTTGATGCATTTTTGAGCCATTGAGAAATGGGGAGGGTTTATAATCCATAATCTCCCGTTCTGAACGCCTATGTCGTTAATATTGACTTATAGTTGACTCCTGTGTCCGATTTCAGACTTCGTGACGCCCGCCATCGACATATATGCGTTCGGCATGTGCGCGTTGGAGATGGCCTCTCTGGAAATACAGGGAAACGGCGATAGTGGTACGTTGGTCACACAGGACCATATCAACCGTACCATCGAGTCGCTCGATGATCCTCTGCAAAAGGATCTTATTTACCAGTGTCTGACCGCCGATTTTGAAAAGCGGCCGTCGGCCCGAACACTGCTCTTTCACCCAGTCCTCTTTGAGGTGCACGGGCTGAAATTGCTCGCGGCTCACGCTCTAGTTAAGACTGGTAAGTTCGTTCCTCGAAATTGACTCGACCCCCCTTTCCCCATCGTTAATGACTGTTTATTTTTCTATGCTGTTAAAGAACATTTTGCCGACCGACTGTCCGATGAGGTGTACCCTCAGGAAAAAGTGATGGCAGAAATAACGCACCCCGATGAGACACGGTGTGTGCAATACAAGATGTCTGACGTCCCCGAAAGCAACAAGCTTGAAAAGTTCGTCGAAGATGTCAGGTATTATTTTATTTAAATTTCACCTAAATGTATACTGTAATATGTTTACATTAAAACCAGCATTTTTATCCTGTTTTTTTTTTTTTATAGGTTCGGTATTTACCCTTTGACGGCATATGCGTTGGAAGCCGGTCCAGTACGATTGACCACATATCAACCTCAAAGTCCCACCGGTTCAATGGATCAGTCAATTCCGTCAGATAGAAGTAGCATTGGACCAATTGATGTCGAAGTTAGGCGTATTGTCAACATGATGTGCAACATCAAACCACGAGACGACGCTCAAAATGACTTTATGGTCAGTTTCATTCATTGCACAATTGTACAGTGTGGTTAAGTTGATGTGATATCCACATAATATGCTGGCTTCATCTTACAAATTTATAACACAGTTAATTTGCGTTCAACAAGAACAACTTTATGCTGTTGATTTTAATATTGGAGTTAATTGACTATTTTCAAACTTAAAAGTAAGCACATCATATGTACAACCATGTAGGTATTTTTGATAATTTAATTTTTAACCAGGATATAGAAATTTTTAAATTGTGATAATTTACATACTCATGTGAATCATATCTCACTTAAAAATTTAAATAAATGAAAAAAATGTCCATGGTTGCACAAATAATGTTCTTACCATTAAGTTTGATAATAGGTCAATTCATTCTAATATCAAAACTAAAAGCACAAAGTTGTCTCTAATGAACACAAATTTGCTATATGTAGGTAGTGTTTGTAAAATAAAATGAAGACAGCTTATGTGGGTACCACGTGCATTTTTATATACTGTGTAATTCATTTATCACAATCTAATAAATTTTTCCAGTCAATTTTAAGTAAATATGATTCAATTTTGCAATCATTATTGTTTACCTTTATTTTATTTTATGTTTTAAAATGTTTACCCCAATCCTTTAATCTTTAAATAAATATTGACTATTGATTTACAAATGAATTGCTATTTTTTTTTATTAATTGGTAAAATTAATGATAGTTTGTAACTTTAGTAATTAAAATTATAATAGTAGAAAAAAAAATTAAATTAATTTCTTTCATACTTATAACATATCTAATAAACCATAAATAATCAATTAAAACGGTTTTTTCTATGCATAGATGACAATTCTACTACGGATGGATGACAAAATGAATCGTCAACTGACATGTTCTATAACAGATGCGGATACTGCATTGTCTCTTTCCCAAGAGCTAGTGCATTTTGGCTTTATAAACGAAGTAATTTTTACAAATGAAGACATTTCAATAAAATAATTATAATAATTCAATTATTTTTTACTTAGGCCGACAAAGATAAAATATTTGTGATTATTGAAGAAACATTGTCAGAGGGCCCTCAATATAAAGAAGATGGCCAATCGTCAGTTCTAGTAGACCATGACATCATTTCACCGTCCAAACTACAGAAACAGCCATCTGTCAATACTGTCGGTGGTTCGGCTGCTTTATCATCGCTAAGACCCAGCGTTATACGGTCACCTATTAAACGCGACGGTAGTTAATAATAGCTATGTGGCCAACAAACGTTGGCCACTCGGTTTCGTTCAACTTATCGCCCATCAACAAAATGGGGGCAAATTTATTATTTATATTCGTTTCTTCCAAGTTTAAATAATATGAAAAATAAATTACATTACTTAATATCAACAATATTTCCTCGTGGTCTGTGTCAATTTAAAAAAAAAAAAACTAAGAAAAGTGTCTCTCACAAACATCAAGTGAGGAATATAGAACGTTAGCATTTAGACTTGAGCCATTTATATTTATATACAAGAGTATAATCAATTATGATAAGCTTATTTTTTATTAAATATTAATAATAATAATAATAATGTTAATAATCTACAAATAAATATTTTAAATGATAATAAGATATTATTGATATTTAATTAGAATGGTAAAAGACACCTAAATTATTTGTTTTATATATTATCTATAATCTGTCATTTGTATTGTTAATCACGTTATATTCATTCCAACAAATGCAAAAAAAAAAAAAAGAAGATTTTAACAGAAAATCGCTCAATATAATTTTTATTTATTTATTTATTTTTTTTTGTTTTTTTAATTATTATTATTATTATTGATGCTTTTATTCAACATGTTCTATCTAATTATTATTTTTGTTCACATTCGTCATTTAAACGTATTATTATTATGTTTTATTATGTATCTATCAGTTACCTGTCTTTTTTCAGCTAATCATGTATGGTCTACAAAATTTGTAGGCCTTCAGCTATTTTTACTATATTAATATGTATATGTACTATTTTAACACATTTACTGTCTACCAATTTTGTCATTTGCCTAACAATGTACGTTGTATGTTCGAAATGTGATAAGTTTAAAAAGTAATAGAAAAGAATATATTAGATTTAGGCTTTATTATATTTTACATATGAATTTTGAATACCATGATGAACATTACATGTAAATTATTAATAATGAATTAAAACTGTGATACTTACGACTAAATGGTTAATTTTATATTACCAAATACAATGGTACCTATCAAATGTTAACCCTATAGCTCTTTCTATAATTGAACATTGTACTAAAAAAAAAAAATATTTACTAATATAATATGTAATACTATAAAAGTAGGATATATAAGCAATGATAAATGAAATTCAGTAGGTGTTTTTAATTCAGGGCTCAAAATCGGTTAAAATTGCGGTTTTGCCATTATCTAACACCCTAACCCAAATTGGACTATAGTAACCTAATTATGTAATTACACATTTAAAAAAAAAAAACTAAACCAAAATAGACTAATTTTGTTCAAAAACCATTTATAAAACCAAAACCTTTTAAAATCAAGTTTTGAAACCCAAAATCAAAACTAAAGAATTTCAAAAACTGAAACCGTTAAAATTGATAACAGTTTTTAGTCTTAATTTTAATAAATAATACTATGATTTTTGTAGTTTTAATGTATTTTAATTACCAAATACAGGCTGTAGTAATAATTGAAAATTATACAATAAATTATCTATATAAAATGGTTTTTAAAAATATACCTACTATAGAAAACATTTTTATAGAATAATAGATAGCGCTGACTATTTCTCCAATATTTAATTATTTTCAATTGCACGGTTTTATCAATATTATTGTGATACCCTGATATACAGACAATCAAACAACAAAATGTTTTATAATTTATAATTAAATCTTATTAAATTATTGCAAAAAAAATCACAACATATTATTATTAGATTCAGAGTAGAGAGAGGAGTCTATTAGTTTTAATCTATAATAACTTTTCTCCTGGAAATCTTACTATAATAAAAACATGACGAGAATTTTTTTGTTGTATTTTGGCTCTAGTTGATACTTTAGACAGGTAATTTTTTTCAAAATTCCCATTAATATTCAAGTTAAGGAGATAAAATTGGTTCTTTAGGTTAAAGAAATTAAAAAAAAAAAAGGTAATCGTTGTGAAAACACACATTTTTATTAATCTGTAAACAACTTTTCTACTAAGAATATTGCTCTGATTTTCAAGGGTTTTATCTTTTCTGAAAATAAATTTTATCCGGTTGTACTTTAAACAAATAATTTTTTGATTTTCCTAGCAATTTTTATAATAATTGGGAAAAAAAAGAAAAGAAAATTGAGAAAAATGTACAAAAATAATATTATTATTTTCAATTTTTTTTTTGTTGTGATTCAGTTAAAAATATTTGTAGATACTTGAATTACCAATTTTTTGATTTCATTCAATTATCAAAAAAAACTAATAACAAAATCAAAAAATGGCTGTCCAGTCACCAACTAGATCTGAAATGCTAAAAAAAAGACTTATAATTATTCTATTTGGGTAATATTTTTTGCAGAAAACTTAGTTCTTAAAAATTTAAAATAATGGCATTGTTGTGCCGTAATTTGAAAAAAATCTTATATTTCATGTTTTCGTTTTCCCAAATTATTATGAAAGCTTCTTTAGATCCCGTAAAGTGACCCCCCCCCCCAGTGCACCAACTAGACAAAATTACTTTTCAGGAAATTCTCTATATTTTATTTATATTGACGCAAGATTTCTGGTTTTGCTACACTCTGATTCTAAAAAATAAAATAAAAAAGGTCATTATTACTGGGAAAGGATGCAGTCTTTGTTTTAGGTTGGAAGTTGGGCAGGTAGGCACATCAAGTTTTTTAATTAATATCTGTAAGCAAAGATTAATCATTTACTACCAAAAACATTTTGGAGCATAGTTAAGTAAGACATATTTTGAAATGCTGTAATTTTTATTATTTTCATCAAAATTTGATCTTAAACCTCTATGAAAAAAAAGCTAATGTGTTAAACTTAAATTTATTTTTAGACTATTTAGTACAACCTATAATGTATCTTGTGTTTTGTGTTAAATTGTCAAGCATTTTTCTTAAGTCATATAATTATAATATCAGTTACTTACTAAACGAAAATACAATATAGGATTATACAAAGTTATAGCTAACCCATGAGAATAATTTTTAGTAAATTGACTATTCGCCAATAGTATTTTAATTAAGTTGAGTATATATAACAAATTATTCAATTTTAATTTCTCTTAATTTTTTTTGATTTTTTTTATCTAAATTTGTGGCTACTTGATTTTCGATTGAAATAATTAAAAGATTATTGAGTCTGTCATGATTTGTTCAAGATTTAAGATAGGATTTGATTAATGTTAACTTACTAAAATTTCATCCACAAGATGCTGAAGTCACAGGTAAAGTTAAAAATATCTGATATGCTATTCAAATATTAAGATAAACATCTTGAATATTATTTTTATAAATAAAATTTAGGATTTAAAAATAATTAGAAATATAGACGTTGTATATCTCTATTTTTGTTTGGCTCCTATTGAAATATTTTTAATGAAAGTAATAAACAGAATATGGACCGTTCTCGAACAACAAAAAAGCTTTTATTGTTTGGCAGCAGTGTCCTTGAAGGAAGGCTGAAGTGAATGTACATTTCTATTGTATTTGACCAATTTAAAAATATGATTTTATTTGAGAGAATTTTAAAGTTAAAATATGTAATATGTTTAAATTATGTATTCCTCTGAACAACGAATGTTCTATTAGGTTTATCAAATTATTAACTTTTTTAAATAGAGAATACCAATTACTGTGTTACATTTGAATCTTTTAGTCACACTGTTATAATTAAAAAAAAAAAAATTATACATAGATATGTTGTGTGATATGAGCATAACCTTACAATTGAAAACATCGTATTTTTTGGTTTTCCTCATTATTATGAAAACTACTTTAGATATCAAACAATTACTTTCTCTGTCAGTGTCTAGATATTAAACGGAACAAAATCGATCTTTTGTTATTTTTGAATTTTTTAAATTGAATCAATACATCTAGTAGAAAACAAGCCATACAAATTTAAAATAAAAGAATCATGAAACTGTATATTTATTGGTTTTCATTTTTTGTCTTTTCCGGTTCTTTGATTGTTATGAAAACCATTTGGAAAATCAAAAAACGAATTTTTTACTCACTAAGTAGATTAAAACTTCAATCAAAAAGGTCTCTTACCGTTTCATATTAGAGCTATATTATTATGGTAGAAATTATAAGCTGTACAAATTTAAAATAATGAAATCGTACGCCATAAAATTTGTTTGTTTTTATTATTCGTCTTTTTCCTGTAACAAATATCGTCTCTTTTTGAAATTTTTTGGGTAAAGCAATATTTCTTGTAGAAAACTTTACAAAAATTAAAAACTATGAAATCGCTAGACTCAGAATCTATGATTGAAGGGTAGGAATCTAAACAACATCGAGACTGCCTACTCCTATTTAACCTGTGTAATTTTATGACAAATGGTCCGATCTCTCTATAGCCTAAACTAATGGACTTATTGTTTTAAAATTTACATAAGTTGGTAAATATATTAAGTAGATGATATTTTTGTGAATTTCAAGTTAATCAGATGATTACAACCTGAGTAATATGCAAAAGTATTAGCATAATTTTTACTCGAATCGCTATTTTTTTCAACAATTTAACAATGTATAATATGTTGTACGCGTTGTTACCACTTATTGGCGACGATAGCCGTTTGCGGGGAATAAAAAAACAATTTTGTTTATTATTTTATCACTGTATTACTGTAGTATCATTTTCCAACAACATTCATAATAAACTATATTCATAGCTATGCATCATATTTATTTACTCAATCCATAAAACAACAAAGATATTTTATCCCCATAATTTTCACTCTATAAAAAAAACATAGGTTAACTATATCCAAAATTTGAATAAAAAAATAAGTGACATTCCAACAAAAACCCTCCATCAACTAAGTGTAAAAATCTCACTAAAAAAAAAAAAAAAACTCAAGTTAAAAAAGTTATGATATCAAAATAAGGCTAAGTAATTTCTTAAATTTATTAATATAGTAATTGTTTATAATTGTTTGTATTTGATGAAGTACAATAATTTAATACCTATAAATAATTTTACTTAGCTTGGTGTCTACTAATATTTAGGTACTACTACAAATAAATATACAATATAGGTATTGCATTTTATAAATTTCCAAATCAAAATAATACAACTGAGTTTTCAAACTCACTAAAATTATTGTATTTTAACCTTAGGAAGCAATTTCTTCTAAACAATTTTACTTTGTAAAGCTTATTTCAATTTAATATCCACCTACAGTTTTTGCAAATTTCTCTTGATATGGTGAACGATGATTGAATGCGTAAAAAACAAATATAAAAAAAAACTTAATCTATTAAAGTAAATTTTCAAACAGCAAGTAAAATTATTTTTTCTTTTACAATAACGTACAGCATTAATATTGTTTTAAAAATAATTGTTTTGTGTTATTAAATTACTTTAAAAATTAAATTTTATTTACGATATATTTTGTACGTATACAGTAATTAAAAGCGATTGGCTGTTTGTATTTTTTTAAATTATTTCTAGACAAATATACAAAAAACTAAACTATTATTGGACAGTAGAGCAATGGTAAATTATTATCTTTAAGGAGGTCGTTGAAACTCATTTTCAAAATTCGAATTTTATAAAATTGGGAAAAATTAGAAAAATCCGCTCCGCAGCCTTAGGTCTGGCCTATATAATATAAACATTTCAGGGGTATTTGGGTGATTTGGGTGAGGGCTAAGCTTTCCAACTACCGCATTGCACCCTTAAAATATTTTTATTTTGCTTTCCTCCCATGGGACTGACCTGCAGGCGTGACTGTAGATGTGTTTATGTGCGTGTCTGTTTTTGTAGCCTGTATAAATTTTGAATGCCTGATGCATTTCGATGCAGCCATTGAAATATTATTTTTATTTATAAATTGACTCATTATTTCTTGTTCATTTCGGTAAACCTGAATATATGTAAACCAGTCATAAACTGATAGTCGAGTGTCGTGATATTTTATTGTATCTATCAATAGTAATCAAAATGGTAAGTCGATTGTATGATTTAATTTGTTGATAGTGTTGCATTTGATTTAAATTACACCAATAAATTTTCAATTGATAAACTAAACGACATAAAAGTGAACCTCGAAGGGCGGCATCAATGGGTATATGGTGGTTCATCTCCCCCCCCCTCCCAGTTGGATTTTTCGTAATTATCAATCAGCATTTTCTTAATAGCAGAGAGCCGTCGGTAACTATATGACTTTTTAAAGAACTGTTTTCCTAGATTAGGTTATAATATTTGTATAATATAAATAAAATTATAATATAGGAACGGGTCTTCAATAGTCGGCAGTATTTTGATTTTTAAATCGACGATTACCATTTACCATTCGCCATAAACCAAGGATAACACATTGACACTATTGAAAGTTTACTTTATTATAAAAAATGTAGAATATAAATCGATATTTATTCAATAACTATTAACTCCACAATAGTATTAGTATACAAATACGGAAAACCCCTTGTTTTCCTTACTCTTACAGACTGTACGCAGTTAACAATTTACTTGTTTACCGATTTAAAAATCAAAATATTGCCGTTTGCTAAGAATCTAGAACATCTTAGTCAAAGACATTTTGGTCAATGTTTTTCGGCGAACGGATATATATACATCAGAAGGTTATAATTTTTGTTAAATATGATGTATTACTGAATTTAAAAAAAGTTAGTGACAAACGTTGATTGATAGATTTGAAGGAAACTTATTTTATTTAGAACTAAAAATAGTCCTGTACGACTAGCTATATGCTGTATGATATACAAAAAACAAATATTATAAGTTATAACTAGAGCCAGACACGTATTCAGAGCAAAGATCTGGGGAGCCCAACAATTTTTTTAAAACACAAATACAATTAAAATATATTATAATACATTATGCGCATTATTTTCTCATACAATTCTCATACACAAATCGGAGAAATAATACGACTGGGGGGGGGGC